GCAAGAGCTTGAAGCAGAAGACGACCTTCTGAGCAAGGTTCCTGTGCGGTAAGAATTTCGGCATCTCATCTTAGGGTTCTTGGCTAATACTGGAAAATCAAGGAACTTGAAAGAGAAGATCACCCGCGAGTCCGCCGAGTTCGTCCGTCAACAACGAATACAGTGCCTGTTTCAAGGGGCATGGTTTGTCAATGGCATCCCCACACCAGCCAACGGTCCTTCGCGGCGTCCAAACGGGCATTGGAGATTCATACGACTGGTATGGATCTATTACGTGCTTCCCAAAGTAAGCTCATTGGCTCGATAGGACAACGGCTTGAAATATCTCCATTATGTGGATAGTGCGGTTCAGTTCGCCGTTCGAAATGGACTTGAAGATCTACCAGAGCGGATTGAGATCGCAGCAATCACCCAGATCGCCACAGGCACATGTGCATCTCCACCAAACAACTTGCGAGATCACCTCGACCTATCTCCGCCTAGCAATCTCACACCATCGCCCCTATCATTCTCTCTCCTAACAGCCACTGAAGGCTCCCTGGCAGACCAAATCGCGTCAGATCAGTTACGGTGGGCAGATTGGACTGATGGGTTGAACATGCTTCGGCGGGACAGTGGTCATGTCACATCTGATGAAACAGCAGGGTACATCAAAGCATTGACAGAGATCGGCCTCAAGATCAAGCTTCTCGGTGAGTCGATCGCCACCCTCGTACCAGAGACCATCTATAACTTCTTCTAGATCTATCAGGCGAGAAGGTGGATATACCCAGTGGACTGGTGGCAGGACCTCCTCCAAGCAATACCGATTTTTTCTTCTCAGATCTCATCTGATGCGATGAGAGGTTAGGTGTATGGTTCTCTTATAATTATGATTCGTGTATGTCTATCAAGACGTGATGAGATTCGATGATGGGTAATCATGTACACAATACTATTAGTTGCTCGTATACGGCTTTTACAATAAACATCCCTTGTCTCGTGGAAACTATATCGAGGGGATGGGTGCAGTTGATGCAGTGTGCAGTTGATGCAGGGTGGCTGATATACAAGCTGTGGCAGTTGATGCGATGAGATGAGATGAGATGAGGGCTTTCTTGTCAGTGGTGTGGTTGGGTGTCAGATATTAGTTGTGCTGGATATGCATGTCATACGGGGGTTGAACCCGCAATGTGGAAGGCGGGGTATGCGAAATCGATCTTGTTCTTGAGATCGAGGCTAGTTTGGAAGTGCCTTGGGTGCAGCAGAGCCGTTGCCATTGATGTGCCGGGCTGCGTATTCCGCACCTGCCTTGAAGAAGGGCTCAAAGATGGCTTGTGAATCCTTGAAATCGTTGTGGACGACGTTGACGAGGCATGATGATTCAAAGATCTCCATCATGAGCTTGCGTGATGGCGTCCCTGCCTCGTAAATGTTGGCCCACTTGACACCTAACTCGTATGCTTCGTCCTGCGGGGCAATATTAAAAATGATTTCACTGAGCCAGATACGACTCACCTTCCACGCCATGAAGCTGAGAGCCTCGACAACTGTCGGTTGGACAATCTCCTTGCCGGGGAAAACTCCCCATGTGACAGCGTTGGGTCCGTCGGAATGGGTGTTCGTCCTCAGGTCACCTTGTTTGTTGATGACGTAGTAGGTCATATTGCTATCACGCTCGATGTGAGCAAGCAGGAGTTCTAGCAGTTGAGGGCCAACGAAGAACTCTAAATATGCCTGATAGATAGCAAATGTAGATGTTAAGAGGGAGCTCGCAATTCAAGGGGGATGCTTACCTTCTGGTAGACGTACCCATTACTTGGACCCCAACCAAATTGTGGGTCGTCGCTCCTTGCACCATTGACGGCGGGTTGTGAGTTTATTGTCAAGAAACCAAGTTCGTTCATCTTGGCGAGTTGCAAGGCGATGGCAGAGGTTTCGGAAGATGCTGCTTGATTCGACCATGGGAGGGCCTTGAGACTACCCAAACAGAATCGACTAAATAACGATGCGACCTCTGCAAATGTCTTGGGTTCTCCCCAAAGTTTCAAAGCCTCCTCCTTCTGTAGTAGAAGTCAGTAACTGAATTGGTGGCTCGTGTTTTATGTAACTCGCCGTTTGTTTGAGCCAGATTCCGTATCCATCAAGCTCACCATACGCGGGACTCCGTGAGTCACCAAACCGACCATTTGGGAACTCATCCCAATTTTCAGTACGCGAAAGGTATGAATCGGCCCGATTCGCCCAGAAGATAGGACGGATGTTTTCTTGCCGTCGGTTTGGTGTAAGCGACTGAAACAGAACATGAGAATAAAGTATTGAGCGCTGAGGAGTGTCCACATACTTGTCTCCAGGGTAAAGGCTTGATAGTCTCTACACGAGGCGTGAGGTTCAGTTCCTCTAGCAGCATCTTTGTCCCCTTCTCCAGGTTCATAGTATAGAAGTGAAGACCCTGGATACCGAGGCCAGCAGCAAGAATCTTCCGGCACATGTCCGCCACGAGCCTAGTTCCGATCTCCCGAACCTTCTCATCATCGTTTTTATAAGGCTCTAAAGCATCCAAGAAAGACTGCGGAATCTTGGTGTTCGCAAGAGATGTGGCCTTTAAGAAGCCATTCCACGTTTGAATAGGAGCAATACCAGGAACGATTGGAATCGTGATTCCAGCCGCCCTAACTGCATTCACCCAATCAATGAAGACATCGACATCGTAGAACATCTGTGTGAAAATGAAGTTGACGCCTGCATCGACTTTCTCCTTGAGGTATTTCATTTCAAGGTCACGTTCTGCGGGCGGAAGGAGCTGGAACTGAGGGAATCCAGCGACTGCGATATCGAAGTAGTCCCCGTATTCGTTGTGGATGTGCTTGACTAGGTCAATACCATGTACAAAACCACCCTCGACCGCCTCCCACTCATCCTTCCCTTGAGGTGGGTCACCACGAAGGGCCAAGACGTTGCGACAACCAGCTTTTTTTGCTTCCTGTGATCAATATTAAATGAAAGAGGTACACAAATGAATCAGACGTGGATACACACCTGGAGAGCAATGTCGACTTTTTCTTTAGGCATGTTCGTGCATGTCAAGTGCATACATGTTTCTACGCCCACTGAGCCTTGACACGTCTTCACCATGTGTGCAGTCAAATCGGACGTCCGACCACCAGCATTCCTATTCACAGGGCGTAAAGTGGTTTCTCATCATATAAGTAAACGTTCTACCATGTAATATCAACGAATTCTGGGCCCAATGCGGTCATGCGCTTGATACGATCAAGCAAGTTTTGGAGACCCTATGAACATATATCAGATAATTGTGCGTCTCATGACCGCGATGGGGTCGCACCTGAGCTGTCCGAGGTGGAAAATATTCGAATGACCACCATAATTTGCCTTCCTTGTTGGACTGCTCGATCTTTTTGCTGATTCTCATTTGTGAAGGAGGGAAGGGAGGAGACTGCGGTTGATAACGCTAAGAGGAATCTGGGACACTTTAAGGACACTAATGGGTTGCCGGTGAGCGTGGATTTCTCCTGAACCTCTGCGATCATCACGTAATCGAGCGAGTTGTGCTGGCTTAAGTGCCGCTAGCGAAGCACGGAGTCTCACACATATTCTGTCATCAGAGTTCGAAATGATGTACCGAATACAGCTGAGTATGGTATACAAGAGCGTGAGATGTATCAGAATGTACCGAAACTTTTATTGAGATGTGTCTAGATCGACCAATGCAAAGACAACGAAGTGAGACAATTCTTGTACAACACCGTGACCTGGTTGTGATCTGCTTCGAGAAGGGAAGGATTTTGAAGGATGATATCGCGAGAATGATGGCACGAAGATATGGGTCACATGTACATACTCTCGTGAGTTTCAATTCCTTCTCACGAGGAATATTCATGGCCCTTGATAGAAGGAGCATGAGAATCGATTCAGAGGATGCACTGAATCATGGAAGAGTTGCCACACCGTGACCTGGTAAACGCTAACCGCTCTTGACCGCATATATGATACAGGTGGCCACGATAATGAAAGTGACAGCTGCCATCATCATGTGATGTAGTCTGCGAACAACTGTTATCCGTATGATAAAAGTCTGGGGAGCTGCAGACTTACCTGTTTACAACAAAGAAGGCCCTGACTTTTATTAGGTCATCCAGACCTGTGCGGTACTCCCAGAATGCTGCAGCGATTGTAAGAAGGGCAGCGATAAACTGAAGAATTGCGAGGGGTAAACTGAAAGACCCCAAACTCTCAGATTCTCTCGTGCCAGGAGGTCCAGGGAGACGGATTCCAAGCAACGCCGAGGCAAACATGAGTAATAACAACAGGACGAGTTTGATATGTGACAAGAAATTTCGTTCTAGCATACAAAAGTCGCGGACAGTGCTGCCCACAACCAAGAACGCCGTCGGCATCGTACAAGAATGGCACAACTTCCAGGGTTCCCGCTACGAATCCATATCAATTAACGTTTTTTAATATTACGTGAATTGCGTCTATCAATTATGTAAGTGAGAGAAAGACTCAGACAACATAGTAGAACAGGTATATATTGTCAATAATAGTACATATGTAGTCCGAGACTAGATATGTTTTCCGTTAGAACATAAAATGTCATCCCGAGCTGGGCACCGACCCCCGGTTACTCTGGTAGTACCTTTTTCGAATCAAATTTAGGGTAAAACATGTTTAGACATAGCCAAGGCTTTAGCTTTAAGACTCCGTTGATCTGGCAGTAGAGTGCAACACTGTATTGCCTGGCTTACTAACATAAGAGTGCGTTGTGTACCGCACCTTTACCAGCTCTACCGGAATACTGGTTGGTTGAATTAATGTCGGTGCAGCACGGCTACAATTCAATTCTTGAAGACTGGCTGAATTTGCTGACAAAGAATTACATAAAAGCAAGAGATAAAAATCAATATCACGTGCCTAAAAAGACGTGTGTTGTTGTGAGTTATTTGGTTGTAGTTGAGATTGCAGATTACCGAGTTCCGTTTTTCCTTCCAATCGTTACAATCTTTTATGCTCTTCCAATCACGTCTGTAAACCGGGTAACATACTCAACGAACCTTATAACTATCATGGGATTTCTGAAGAAATTCTTTTCGATTGGGAGCAAGAAGTCAAAGAGACAAGAATTGGCGCATCATGATCTTGAATCCCTGCCCTCAATTCCCAAGCACCTGCAGCCGACGCGAGAGGAAGATGCCGAGGCAGCGGTAAGCCGACTGCTGCGCTCCTCTTCTGCGCGTTTTCCTGTTGAATCAGGTTCGAATTATGCATCACTTCCACCTCTCCGTAAGTGAATTACAATCAATATCTTTCTTGAATGCTTATATCTTCCTTAGCGCATCCAATTAACGATGTTCTTCCGCCACCGAATGCATCTACGGCTACCCTCGGCAGTGTTTCCAAACGCAGCTCTTACACAGTAACTGTACACGGTCGCACAGTTCACAGCCGCACTGAGTTCCCGAATGCATACCCTCCCATGGACAGTTTTGCAACTCCGAGACGGAATTTAAACGACTCTCCACGACGCCGCTCTAAAAGCGTACCCATCACCCCCCGCGATCAGAACCGTCTTCTTCGTCTTCGCCAGGACCCATCCGTCGCTAGCTTGCTCAATGTTTATGATGATAATGGATGCCTAGACTCTCACGTATTCTCCAATACCCCACCTGTCGCAGGAGGCGGGGGACCTCTGCGAAGACGTCGCACTGGCTCAACCTTTCGACAGCTATTGACCAACCCGTCTAGTCCCGAGCTCTACGACAACAGTGATATTGAATGGGCTGAGAGTGTCCTATGGTAAGCGGCATTCTAACTTATTAATGCGTCACTTTCTGAAGATCTGCTAGTGAAACAAATGATAATTCTTGTGCATCTTCTCTCGAACTCAAAACACCTCGTGATCCCCTTTTCATGTCCTCCCATCTCAACCACGCTCACCACAACATCACACTCTCTACCGAAGGCGACACCTCTGTACCAAATCAACCCACATTCTCCTCTCTTGATGTGGAGCTCAGCGCCTCCACTGAAATTACGCGTCACGTCAATTCACCTTATGGGAATCCAATGTCTCACCAACGTGCATCACAGATATTTGGGTTTCTTGCTGAGAAGAAAAAGATTTCTGAAGAGCGCCCCTCGAAGTTGCCGACACGAAAAGTTACTCCTCCCTTGCACATCATGCTGGATCTCGCATCCAACAACGTTCAACCATCTCTCAGCGATACCCAATCACCCGAATCCACCCATGCCGAAACTACTTCACAGCTCGTATTTCCCTCTTCACAATTTATGCATGCTGCACCAGCTCTAGATGAGTTACCGCATCACATTGTACACTCAGAGTCCGAACCCGTCATTATCAACCATACTGGCCGGAGTAGTAGCAGTGGACAAAGCAGTCAAGGTCCTCGCGGCCCACGTGCTTTTACCAAGATACCCTCGCGGTCCAAGTCGAACCCCAGCCCGTGGCTGCAGGATGATCTGCAACCATTACCAGGCATCAAGGCTGAAGGCACTTCTTCTAGACCTGCTTTTGGAGAGAAATTAAATGAGGATGTTAGATATCCGGGCTTCACTGTCGTCGTCAGCGGAGACACATCCTCTTTAATCCCTGCATCCTCACGTCCGCGCTCATCTCAGCGCTCCAAAATTATTGATCGCAATCATAATAGCCAGGTTCCTATCTTTGCACGAAACGGATCGCTACTTGATGCTTTCGCAAGTGTGCCATCTCTTGCAAAGGATAAATCTCAAGTCGAGGTTTCTTCATCTGCTCATATGCCTTGGCACGATAAAGAGAACGACGTGGTATTTCAGCTTCCCCAACCAAAGACACCCCTGCGACCCCTTGGTTTCCGTCCACCGTACTTGCAGGATAAACCCTCGCCTGCATCATCCTCGGAGTTATCCCCCACGGGGAAGCAAATTATGACGAATTTACGATACCAGCGGATGCAGGCACGTCAGAAGGAACGACAGACGGGTCGCTTGGGAAGCAGTCACAGTCGTATTCGGTATTGATGTTTTCTGTTTTGTTTTGCATCGTGTTATCTTTGTTTTTCAAAGCTTTGATGTGGTTTCGCTTTTGTCTGGACTCTGTAGTGGTCGTGATATATATACCTCATTATGAATCTCTGAATCTCACAAGAATATTTGTGTATACAAGTAAATCCACGCACCAAACAATTAACAAGGCATTTCATTAGTAAAACAAATTACCACATATGGAAAGTAGTCAGCCACGTGAGTTAAGAGGGTTGCCTCATTGAGGAGTCTTGTGTTTACTGCTCTCCCACACGCTGGCTTGGTTTATCTACTCCCTGACTAGTACCTGGTTCAGCTCTGTGCAGACCAACCGTGTGTTATCCAACCCCATTCGCAGCGGATACTCGACTCCTGCTGCCTTTTCAAGTTCCGAGTCCTTAGACCTAGACTTAGATTCATACGAGATGGTGCTGAAATACGGAGCAGTGCTCACAAGTGCGGCTGACGCAGCTGTAGGTGATAGCGAGAGCAGCGCCCTTCTTGCAGGGGAAGCTGCTCCTTCAGTAAGACAGAAGGAAGGTCATGCGAGCATGCTGAGTTCCGTGAGCAACCTCTCAAATACAATCATTGGCAGTGGTGAGTGCTTTCGTTCAATGTATAGTTTCTTGGAATTGACTAGTTTGTGTGCAGGCATGCTCACCTTCCCTTTGGTAAGGTTCCGCAGACCTGTAGGGAGTTTTCATGGTTCATTTGATGTCATCAGGCTATGGCATCTTCTGGTATCATACCAGGAATCCTCACATGTGTATTCTCTGGTTGTATTGGCGCCTTCGGTTTGTATCTGCTCTCGTTATCGGCTAGATACGCCCCGCATAGAAGCAGCTCCTTTTTTGCGGTTGCACAGCTTACATTCCCGCAAGCTGCCATATTCTTCGATGCTGCGATAGCCATCAAGTGTTTCGGAGTATCTATCAGGTGAGTGTTTTTCAGCTTATTCTTTTGGTGATGCTAACGGCATTCAGCTATCTCATCATTATCAAGTCGCTCATACCCAATGTTGTGGAATCGTTATACCATGATTTGACTTCGCCGAACACCAATCCGCCCGCGTGGGCCCTATCAGGTCGGAATTGGATCACAATCATTATGTTCATTCTCGTCCCTCTTGCTTTCTTTCGCCGTTTGGATAGCCTTAGATACGCGAGTTACGTCGTCCTATTTTCCGTCGGTGAGCTCAAACCCGCAGTATCATGCATTGAGACGGGTGATTAAATCTGCGTGCACGCAACCCAGTATACCTCTTGGCCATTGTCATTACATGTTACTTTAATCCTTTAGAAGGTACAGCTCCAGCTGGCGATATCCATCTCATCCACTTCACGCCAAACTTCATCTCGACGTTCCCTGTGCAAGTTTTTGCGTTCACGTGTGCCCAAAATGTATGGATATTCTCTGTGCCATGACGATTAACTCAATAGTTCTTTTAGTTGTTTCCTATCTTCAACGAACTGAAGACGAACTCGCGACAGCGCATGAATATCGTTATTGGGACTTCTATTGGGTCTGCCATCATGGTGTATGAGGCCATCGCTCTCTTTGGCTATTTGACCTTTGGTTCCAAAGTGAATAATTATTTTATGCTTTTGTATCATGTATATACTAACGATTTTCATCAAGGTCGGTGCTAATATCATCGCCATGTATCCCTCAACATCGTTATTCATCGCTATTGGGCAGTTGGCCATCGTCGTGCTTATCATGTTCTCGTATCCCCTGCAAGTACAGCCTTGCAGGAATTGCTTGGACAAGATTTTCCATGTAGGAGCCCCTATCAAGGTTTCCAATGGTAATAATGACGATGAAATTGTCGATGAGGATCATGCCGTTGCTGACATGTCCCCTTTGAAACACACCCTGCTGACCGCTGCTATTACCGGTTTCGGTTTCATTATTGCGTACTTCGTTGATAATCTTGAAATGGGTAGGTTGTCTTAGCCGATGTCGAAAAAATGACCGTTTTGAATTCAAAATTTGCCCTACACAGTGCTCTCCTTTGTTGGCGCCATTGGATCCACTACTATTTCGTTTATTCTTCCTGGGCTCCTCTTCTGGAAGGTGAGTATCTGACTTCCGATGCTTCTCGGAACCGCCGCTAAGGACCATGCATTCAGATCTCTCGAGATGATCCCAGTGTGAGCAGAGCGCTCAACAGAGCTGCCCTCGCTTTAGCAGGGTATGGGTGCTGTGTGTTTGTGTTCTGGTACGTAACGTTGTGCATGTACTGTTGTGGGATTTTAACTCGTTTCAACAGTTTGGGTTACAACATCTACCGAATTTTTAATCCTTTAGTAATTTCTTCTCGTTGATGTACAAATACACGTACATGTACATTTTATTGAAAATATAATTTGCATAACGATGTGGACGCCTTACATACAATATGCTGTGGAGCCTGGGGTCGTGGGAAGAGTTGGATTGGGCTTGGGATTTTTGGACCCATTAGACTTTCATCCTGAACACCTACGCTCCCCTAGACCACCAGATGCCTCCAATCTTCTTGTCCTGACCTTTTCTTTAGACAGGTCCTTAATTTCAGTGTACGACACCGACAAACCTTTTACTGTTCAAAGTCTTCTCATGTCGTTTCGTGAGTCGTCTCCCCAGATCCCTTTCAAGTAATTCGTGTATGAGTTTCTGAATGCTGACCATGATAATTGCATGCGTTGCTGTACTTTGCCATTCAGAGCCACTATCAACCCCTTCCTTCTCAGCATCTCCTACGCCCTATATATCCTGCTCTTCATCACCATCTCCTTCATTGTCCCATACATCTTCCAGTTCTCAGCTAGACTTGAGTCTCGCACCAAGCATGACTTCAACATCACCCCCTCTTACCGAACCAGCAAATGTCCAGTCGCCGTCGCGCTCTGATTCTGATACTTTTGCAGAGTTGGAGGGCGCTAGCAGCCTCCTTGCCGACGTCGATCCTCAGATTATCGAAGCCCTCAAAAGTAAAGATAGGATATACGTCCTGAAGCTCGGTGAGCAGATGGAGAGTTTAATCAATGACCGAAAGTGCGTCTTTTTGTTTGTTCGTCGTGCATGGGGTTGTTGCGTCGCGATGTGCGACATAGTGCTGTGTGTGCTCATGCGGCGCAGCTATTTCTACAGCCCTTTTTGACGTTGAATTAATTTGATGTGCTGACTGTTTTTTTAGCTCTAGGCCTCGGCTTGATCTGATGCCCGCTACATCATATCAGCGCCTTTTGGTGCACAGATGCTCTGCCTACTATAAATTGTTGCCAGAGACTGAGCCTGTATCGAAGACGATTAGCGTCCTTCTTTCAGCGGATAGTAAAATGTTCGTATATCTCTACATCATAGTATCATAACTCATCCTGGTCAAATATAGCCCAAACCGTCGCATAGCGGCCCTTGTTCCTGCTCAGCCTTCGACTCACCCAACTATAAAGATCATGCGGCGATCTACTACTGACCGTGGTCGGTCAAAACCACACTCACAGGCTGGTTCAATTGCTGGAGAAGATCCTGAGCTCTCCGATGTAGAGCCATCCGAATCCGGAAGCCAGGGTGGCCGAAGTAATGCTACTGGCAGTAGCAAGAAGCATAAGACGATCGCAGAACGCGAGGCCGCGTATAATGAAGCACGTTCACGCATCTTTATGGATTTCGAGGAGAGAGAGAAAGGCAAGGAGAAGGATTTGAGCGCTAGCTCCTCGACGATCAGCCTTACTTCCGGTTCCGTAACAAGTGCTGGGGAGACCAGTAGTACCGGCGACGTTGATGTTGAATCTATCAGCTCCCCTACTACGGAGAGCGAGTGGTCTGGACCTGCTCGCGATAAAAGGGACAGCAAGCGCTCAAACGGGTCCACGCGAAGCCTGCGATCGAGCGCCCCTGTATTTAACGTTTGTGGTTCAAGTAGCTCCCGAGGGTCAAGAGCGCCATCACCATCGTCTTTCAAATACCCTACTCTGTATGAACCGTCCCCGGCGGCTCCCCCGTACGATGGAGCCCAACCTGCTGTACAACCTGGTTACGTGAATCCTTACATGTACGCATACCCTCAGCCACCACCTACCTCAAACTATATTCCTGGTTATCCTTACTACGCCCCTTATCCGTACCCTCACCCGCAAGCTCCAATGCATGTGCCCGACAACTCAGCAGCGCATGGGGCAATGGAGGCGTATCCCTCTCCACAACATGTCACGCATCCAAGCGTCTACGTACCGTATGCATGGTCACCCGCTCAGCAACAACAGCCACTTCCTCATCCTCCCATGCAACATACGGCGCAGCAACCTTCTCCTCCATCGGTCGCGCCACAGGCGTCGCAGTATTCTACTTTTACGCCTCCTGTGCCACCTTATGGACCATACCCCATGTCCATGCCCGGCTACTTTCCCCAACCCCCTCACATTCCACACGTACAAACCTCACCTCCTACTGCTCAGAACCATGGACACTATCTGGGTAATGGATACATGAATAGTACTGGGGGCAACGACGCCATACCCTCGAATCGGTCTTATCCTGGCGACTTGACTCACTCACCTTCGATGCCCAAGCCTCGTGGAGCTCCTCCTGCGCGTAGTGCCTGGAGTTATGGTCCAGGAGTGGGTATGGGCGGCTTCGGTATGAACAATGTGGGCAGCCGTCCTGGTGGTGGTGAGGTGGTAGGCCCACGCCTGAGCTCATCGGTTAGTAGAAGACCTTCTGGTAACTCAAACACAAGCGCTTGTGGTAGGATATCAACAGGTGACGAAGCATCATCAACAGCTGTAAGTTATTTGACATGGCTCCGCCCTTTACTCTGTTGTTGACCTACTTTCCCTATTGTAGTCATCTTCAACGACTTCATCCTCTTCACGAAGGACATTCACGTCAACCTCATCTCAGCATCCTTTACCCGCAAGACCTGATTGGGCTGTCGGCTTGAAACCTCAACCTACACTCCACGCTACCCATCCTCGGCATCATGATCACTCGATGAATTCCCGAACCATGTCTCCCGCTAGGAACAATTCCCAACGCGGTCATCAAAATCCATCTGTCTCACTTCAACCCACAGATTTCCCTCCCCTGTCGTCCATGTCCCCTACGCCTGAGAAGCGCATACCGGCTGTTGCAGGTGTCTGGACGAACTTATCATCGACTCGATCCATTCTCATGCCGGGCAGTAACACTTCACACGGAAATGCACTCACCAATCATTCCAACGCGCATTCTAATGTGACAGGCACTCCCTGTAATACCCGACTTGAGGACACGGACGGGGGGTTCGAGAGGCCGCCGCCGAAGGCAAATGTAGAGTTATTCAATCCAAAGGGTGTTTGGAAACCTGGGGGGTCTCAGAGCCGTAGTCCACCAGGGGGCTCACAGGACAAGGACAAGATCGAGAAGCTACGCGGTGAGGCTGTTGCCAATGCCATTTTGGTTGACAAGATGGCGATGGTATCAGTGGAAGATAATGATTCTAGTTCAAACGTGCCGAAAGTTTCCCCTGTTGCTCTTGCGACTTAGGATTTAGGTGAGTTCAATCTTTACCTAACTCGAAGTCGACCTAACGCGCTTTCAGTGCTGCCGCCCACATGTTGTGTCTATTGTTTTGCGCTAGCTAAGTCTGCACGTCGTTGCTATCGTTGCATGTATTCGCACACAGGGAATCGGAGGTTGTTTTCACTAGATATATTACAAAAATGTGTAAACATATAATACAAGTCCTTTGTGCCCATGAGTTTTGTTTGTATCTGCTTACGCGTGTTATTTTCGGAGGTCTTTGCCAAACAAATTGCCTAAACGCTAGCAGTGGGTGAATATGACCACCAGACTACGGCACAGGCCTCAGCTAGAGGATGAAGATGCTTCTGCGCTTAAGCTCGGAGCAGGTGTGATTTCTTCCGTCTTCTGTAACGTTAGTTCTCAACCTACTCGACAGAGTTCAACAATGCTGGTTGCTTACTGATATCCGAGGTCAAGTATTTGCTGGAAAATAGGGACAAGGACGCCCCAGACACTGCGTATGACTTCTAGTTGTTCTTATCGTCCAATCCCTTACCTCTTTTCAGTGTATATAATAAGACCCTTGAATATGTGAAGACATTTGCGAAATTCAACACCACCGATTCCGCCAGTGCGGTGCGAGAGTCAGTTTCAGTCATTATTGATACCCTCTACTCGCCGTGATTGACTTCACATTAGAACCCTTCGACGCGAACCCGCATTGACGCAATTTGAAACCGCTCAAATCGCCAATTTATGTCCTGTCGATGCTGAGGAGGCAAAGAGTGTTATCCCAAGGTAATGCACCAGTTCTTTTATTTGTTTATAACGAAATACTGAACATTCTTGTGCAGTTTAGTAAAGATCGAGGATGATAGATTGCAAGCATTACTCGACGAGATACAGTCTATGAGGAAGTTCCAGTCTTGAATGATATCGGTCGTTGCTATGTTGTCCGACGTTCATAGCTGGCGCTGCTTTCCTGACTTGTCGTCGTCGACTTGCCCCGGTACTTTGACACCCTCAAAGTACATGCACGTCCAGCCTCTATCTGTGGGTTTCACATCATGGGGATCGAGTAAAGAATATTATTACTGCCCTTTGTGCGTCATTCAGGTACCAGTTCTATGAGAACCATTATGCATTGCTCCAGCATTTTCATCATGCGAATATTTGCTTCATAAAAACTAACAAGCCTGGAACAATACCAAACGACAGTGCTAATCATTTTATGGTCTGGGATTAAGTCAGCACTGTCGCTTTCCTCTCGGGGTTTGGAATGCTACAAGGGGTCTAAAACACTGGCAGGACACACCCATCGATGTAATCTATCTGGACACTTTGATGTCAAGTTATGTGGCCACTGGTATGCTCATTTGCAAGGTGTACGCTTCCGGAAGTGTCGCTGCTCAATCCAACAGATCGTCAGGGAAGCTAGCTTACATCCCAGCAAGGCGACTGCTTGCTCGTCAACTGGTTACAGACCATGTTGACCAAACCGACTCGCACGTCCCATGGTTCAAACGTTAACGTTCGCCGTCGACGGCTATCGCAAAGTGGGATTTGGGAACGGTTGCAACAGGCAATAGGAAATATGTAAAACAGATTCCGTCCTCTGACACATTCATCGCATCCGCCAATTTGTCTCCACCATCTCGCATAATGTACATCGATTGTGCACTAATCTTGCAAGTAATATAAGATAGGAAACACAGCTACTACTTAGCCCTCCATGTCCTCCAGGCGGGATTTATTGAGTTTGCTCTCTGTCTCCTCGTCGTCTTCGATAGTCGGGGTACCTTGTTTATCAGGGAAACTCGTCAAGTCAAACTTTCTCTTCTCCTTGAATGGATTCTCTCTCTTCTCTCCCTTCTTTATAACGGCAGACGCAGGAATGATACCTTTCGGGTTCAAATACAGCAGATCATCACCTCCATATGAGTCGATTGAGCGCATCCACGCATCAAACCTGTTTCTCTTCATTAGTTTAAGTGGCAACGAACACAGTCAGAGATACCCACACCCCGTCGCGGTCCTCAATGCACCGCATATTATCATAAATAAAGGTTTGTTTAAATGCATCGATAGACTCTCTGTGTTTTTCGAAATCAATTTTAGGTCGGTAATCTGGATGAGAAGGCTCGAGCTTCTCGTTGATCGAAGTAACTTTCTTGTTATATGAGTCAAATATTGGGTACTCCAGCAAGAGACCAAGAGCAGGCATCTTTGGGATCATGACCATGCGCGGCCCGTATAGCTGCGAGAAGGGTTAGATCGTGGTTGCATCAGGTGACATAGAAGCTAACCTCGTCGATGACTTGACTTGGTGTACTTGTTCTACAAGACAAGACAAGAGCGGACATCATTTTGCGCTGCGACCAATTTGTCATCGTATCACTGCTACCAAAGTACAAACGCTTACAATCTAGATAAAATGAATAAGAGGAGCCTTTTCAGTGAAAACTAACTCACCTGATGTAACATAAAGCTCTGCCCATGGAAGAGGACACTTATCCACTCAGTGTCTCCATAGACCGCAGGGTCAGATATCTACCGAGATGCTGTCAGAGGTTAAACTAACCACAACCTCTCCAGCCTACCTCAATTTTCCACATATGCCGCTGATTACTGCGATCTCCAAACTCGCGTCCAACGGTAAAGTTATGAAAGTTATGCGTCCCTTCGAACTTATTTGCAGCCCGACGGATGAGCTCTACCTGGTCTGAACTTATCCTCCACGAGCGCTTGCGTAGGAGGTCATCCATAGGGGTGGAAGAATGAGATTCAGGTGCACTCCAGAAGGAATGAGCGGAAGCATCTAGAGGGACAACGCCATGCATGGACTGTGCGTGTTTTTCATATGCACGCTGAAATCCTGACCCAGGCTTTGGAGGTATAAGGAGATACGACGGGAAGAAGTATGTGTACTTGCGGCTGTCGCAAGACCTGAGAGAAAGCTTGTGAATGAACTACGTGAAATGACTCTTGTGAACCCACATGCGAGCGTTAAATGAATTTTGCACGCGGACCTGAACCACTTCAAAGTTAATTCCTGCCTTGAAAAGGAGAGAATGCATACGGAGCCCCAAACACGAATCTCTTGTGGGAGTTCTTCGTTTACACGTGCCACCCAGTCTTTCACCCCAGGAATCGCGGTGATCAATTTCATAGACACCAGGTTGCCAGCTGCGTGGACACCTGCGTCGGTACGTGCAGCCCGCCCTAGATTTACCTGGAAATATGAATGCCTCTGAGCAACACATCATGTCATGCCCCTGTAAGTGCCATACCTTCACGGGGTCGTCTGCATTGTCTGATGAGACTGCTCCCGCACGCACGAGTGCGTCGAACAGGACACCTTCGATCGTCCGCACGTCGGGTTGTCTGTCATTACGCACGCATGTTCAGCATTTCAGGAATAGCAGAAGGATAGGAGAAAGATATGAATATTTTCCCTAGTAGGACAGAGATAGAAGAAAAGAAAAGAGACAGCCGAGAAACTGGGGGTGAAAGAGAAAATCCAAAATTCAGCGTACATTTGCATTCCATTGCATCCCGTCCCGCAGAACCCGATAAGCAATGCGCTCTGTTTCTTAGGCAGGCGCGGGGCTCTAGGGCTCTGTTCCTCACCCTCTTTTTCACCATCCTTATCTTGATCACGCGTCCCACGTCTGCGTCCCTTGTTCTTCGTATCTTTGGCCTTTCCCCGCCTAGATTTCGCCCAGCCCGCTGCATCCCGCTTTCCCTGTTTCCTATCAGCGGCGGGAGTGTCAGAAGGACCTTCATGTTCGGTTGCATCTAATGTCTTCTCGGGCTCCTCATGTTCAATCCTAGCGCGTTTGAAGGACTCTGAGATCCCTGCTTGCACTTCGGTGATTGGTCGTTTGGCAGGAGGAGAGTGTGACTGCTCTGAGTCCTGCAGGTCATAGTACATGACGTGTATGTTCCTTCTACGCAATGTCTTTGACTGTTGGTGTAAGGATTGTGAATAAGTTAGCCAGGAAACAGACCGATGAACGTACCAATAGTGGTGCGCGATGGATGGTGTACTGAAAAAGTCTCCACATATAATCGAATTCGAATTTTAGAAGATGCCAATTATGGTGATCGCAAAGTTACTTGGAACTTGTGCGCAAGAAAACCAACTTATAAACGGTACTCGTCCATTCTCATAAAGATTAACATATTTACATAACAAGATGAAGATACAGTATGGTCTAATGATGGTCTGTACATGTGTAGATGTAAATTGCAATCTATCCGCTTCAGATACAAGAAGTTTCCATCACGCTTGCCCACATAGGTGTACCACCTGCTCCTCGCAACGCCTATAGTTATCCACGAGGCCATCATACACCTTGGTCACCTCGCCTTTCGGAGTTGCAACCAGCTCCATCCTCTCCACCTGACCCGTTTCCATTATCATCTCCTCAAAGCTCCCACTCGTGTCCCCAACTTGCGCCTTCCACCACGCAAACTTGGCAAGCATTGCGCCTCCCGTCCCCGCAGCCTCCTTGCTCTCTGCAACATAAACACGCATCCCGAACACGTCAGCTGCAAGTTGCCGGATCGTCTGGTTTGCCGATGAACCACCAGTAACAATCAGCCGCTGCAGCGGCGGCGAGTGCACCGGAAGAATGGCAGCAATGCGTGATTTGATGCTGAGGAATTGGCTCTCGAGGATCGCACGTGCGTGCTTTGAGGCATCTGGCTTTTGTCCGTGTACTAGTCGTGGTTCCTCAGTATCTTCGCATTGAAATATGAATTCGCCCTGAACTCCTGGAGGAATGATCTCGGGAAGGGGAAAGTAGAATCCCATGAACCCAGAATTACCATGTGGCGACTGCTCTACGAGCTCGTTGTACCGTGCCCAGTCTGTGCCAGCACAGCGGTCACGGATTTGCTCTCGTGCAAGGGCACCGTTCTTGTAGCAAAGCATCGCAATCTGTGCACCAAGAGTTGTAGGGTGCGAGAGGAGGTGCGAAGTAGTGAAACGGGCAGGAGGCGAGTCGGCAGGGGGAATGCTCAACAGAAGTGTTGTGCTCGTGCCCAGGGACAGGATTGCGTCACCAGGTGCCGAAAGGGCAACGACGGTCGCAGGGTTATCACCCGTGAACGGTGCAATTATGCAATCTATAGATGGCAGATGAGAAATATTGCCAACCAATGAAGAATGAAATGCAGACCTGGGTTGAATCCCCAGCGCTCAACCCACCACCGAGAGATGCGTCCAAGAATGGTACCGCCGACCACAGGCTCAGGGCCAATTTTAGCACGTAATTCGGGACCGCCGCATGCCTCAAGGAGTGCATGGTCCCATTTACATGTGAGTACATTCATCAGGTTCATCCCGCTCGCGTCGGAGGCCTCGATCGGAGCGATATGCCCAAGGAACAGTGAAGGGATGAATGACGAGACAAGAGATATGCGCGCAGAGTCACGGTAAGCGGCGGGTTTGAGGCGACGGATCTTCGTAGAGTAAGAATTGGTGTTCAACCATTGGACACTGGTAATAAAGTATGCACTACGCACTCGGGCAATCTGGGGTCCTGTGAACCGCTCATAAGCTCTGCTTCCTGTAAGATCTGCAAGTACCTGGGGGCCACCGACAACGGCCTCAAGTTCACGGCAGTCCTTGGTCGTCGAAGAGTCCTGCCAGATGGGTGCATTGGGCAATGCAAATGCATAGGGTGCGAGATGGCCCGGGTCAGCTAGCGAGCGCTCGGGATCCATCATAGCAAGGGCTTTCTCGGCCCCCTCAGACCAGTATACCGAACCATGTTGCTGGACTCACGTATGAATTATTAGGCTCATCTCACATTAAAACTGTATACACCTACTTGTCCAGCACCAGATATACTGGCAATAGCACTGAGGTCAACGCCAGTGTTTTTAACGCGCTGCACGACGAGGTCGATAGCTTCGAGCCACATGAGCACCGGGCTCGTAACCTCACCTTCATCTGGGCCATTGACTGTACCATTCGTTGTGCCATGAGTGGAAAGGTCTCGATCGAAATGCACGGCGCTCTCGTGCACGATGGAAGCATCCTCTGCGATCACAATTGCCTTTAGCTGCTGAGTGGACAAGTCAAAGCCCAGGAAAAGTGGAGAAGACATCATCCGGTACTGGAAATGAAAGTTTGGAATGAAATGGGAAAGTCAGTGTCAACATTTGGCGGACGTTTTATTGACAGCGGGGAATTTAGACGGTCCGTGTGCAAAACTATCAGACCATGAGTATAGCCATGGAGCCACTAGCTATAGTACGTTCGGATCCATCGCAGTGTACGTCAACTGCCAGTGGGTTGACCCGGGTGGGCCGAACAAAATGATCACATTTCAATGTGGGAGGTTTTCGCAGTAGTATGAGTACGCTGTAAAATTCACTGGATAACATTAATATTCGGGGGACCTGCCTTGTCTTTGGTAGTTGCTTCAATTCAGAATGTGATCCCATGAGCTTCACTAGCCGAGTTGTGTTCCCGCTGTGATTGATTTTTCGAACACGTGACAACTTTGGCCAGACTCTACTAAACTTCAGACTTACAGGAAGGTCTCACTCCGTCACATGTTGCATTGCACGGCCACGACAATCACCTATCTCCTTCCCCACCAGAAAAATGATAGTCTCGGGACCGGATTCAGCATCCTACTCTGCGCAGAACAACAATCACCTACGCGGAGAAGAAGAAGCGCGGTGGTTCGGCCTGACTGAAAACCTCACGCATCTTTGCTACTCACAGTTCAGTGTGCTGCACGGAATCACCCCGAAATATCCTACACTAAACCCCTGATCTAGCCATCTGGCGTGTTGCGCATCACATCACTTTTAACGTGCACTGACTTTGAAACGTCTGACACGAGTACGATCAAACAATAGAGCAGCATGAGTAATGATGTTCAATTCCAAATTGAGTCGGTGAGTGCTAGTGAGATGTGAGATAGTACATTAGCAGCTGCAGGTATGTGTGTAAGAAGAAGTGCGCATAATCATAAACATGATGTCAGTGGCCTGAGTCTGGATCCGTGTCTGGTGAGATATTTTGATTGTGGTAGCCTTCGGTGAAAGGTTTTGCTAAGGTGGGACATCTAATTAGATGCATCTTATACTTTGTCCTCTGGCACGTTTTTGTCATGAGGTCGTGAGTCATCTTTTGTCATTAGCGATGGGATGCTTGTATCGGAAGAAGACTCACGGTTGAGTGGGGTCGTCTGCTGCTGCTGGTGCTGCTGAGCGGGTGCGGTGATAATTTCACCTAATGAAATGACTTTGTTCGCGTCTGGTGATGGGATAACCGGCGATGGAACGTTACTCGTGACCGACGACGAAGAGGCAGATGAGGCCGCCTGAGTTTGAAAAATGTCGCGCAAGTCATACGAGCTTTTCTTCTTCTTCAATACGGGGGGACGACCCCTGTCGCGACCGCGTAGCTCTGGAAATTCTTTCCTTTCGCCTTTCTCTTCCACATAGTCTTCCACGATTTTCTTTTGGTCTATATTTATTGCTTGGTCGATTTGGCAGCTGAAATGAGGGTCTGAGTCGCCGTTTTCGCAGTCAGTTTCTACGTGCTCTCTGTTGGCAGTGCGGCTGGTCATGGCAGGTCATGGACGGATAATAGAAGAGTTGAAAGCCCCTTTAAATTTCGTGTGCAGAGTTGGAAGCTTGAGATGATTGTCTTTAAAAGGCAGTACCGGCGGGATGAATTGCCCGTTACGATCGGAGGTAGTAGGTACCCCTCTAGAGGACCCCGGTCCCCCGGGTCACCGCGTCCGAAAATTGGTCTGACATCAAGACTTAAGTACGCCCGCATAATGAACATGCTCGGACTGGGTTCACCGATATAATTTAAATTTTCATTCGCTGAGCCCCTGTCACGTGTGACCTGAGAAAGCTTTGTCATCACAAGTCGACTCGTAGGGCGTTCGTTGCATCGAGCAAGGACTTGTTAGATCCAACAAACTGCTCGAGGACATCGACTTGATCGACATTGGCGATTTAAATTGTGGTTGTCTTGATCGTCATTCGCAGTGACGACGAAATTATTCACACTCGCTAGGTTGCCAACCATCAAAGCAGCAACGGTTACTAGCAGCCGCGATGAGTGTCCATCGACACACGCCATCTTCAACACGCCGTCAAAGTAAAATCACAATAGAATATCATCGCCCTTCAAGAGAGAGCGTTCAAGAATATACGGATCTACTAGCGGACCCAGCTCTAGCTGCTGCTACAGTTGCTCAAGCGGCCACTTACAGCTACAAAGATCCTTATTCAACAAGTTCTCTACCTTCGTTAACTCCTTCTCGCTCTGCACCACAACCGCCGTCAACCCGTAGTAAAACACCAATCGATCCCTCTTCACCAAAAGTTAGGAATAGTCTGCACAAAGCACAGTCAAGAGGAAGGAAACATAGCCTTTCAGCTCCAGATCCTTTCGCTGCAGCTCCAATAAAACAACAAATGTCCCCTACTCCTCCTACTCGCCCAAGTAGGGCAAACACCGCAACTCTAAACGATATCTTTACAAGCAGTAGCCCCATCGCAACACGTCGTCTATCAGTACCAATCACAGATACACCATACACTTCAGAGCCAGTCGACATACTACCCGATCTACCCGCAATTACAAGTACGAATTCCGGTACTCGCAGTCGTAGCGCCACTACCGTAAAGCTTAAAAAGGGTGGCATGCTAGGTGGCATGTTCGACTTTCTCGCTCCTTCAAAGCGTCCAGAAATCAGCACTCCTTACGATCCTGTTCACCTTACACATGTCGGTTTCAACTCTTCCACAGGCGAGTTCACAGGTCTCCCAAAGGAATGGCAGCAGCTACTCCAAGAATCCGGTATCAGCAGGAGCGAACAAGAAAAGAACCCCCAAGCAGTTATGGAAATCGTAAAGTTCTATCAAGAAGGAAGAGGCGACGTATGGGACAAGATGGGTGCCGTAGGCGTCGAGCAATCTACAAGCGCCAACGAAGGTTTCGCCAATCCAGTATGCACTCACTTTCTTTATCTCCGCTCACCTAAGCATGTCTCCTTCTAGCGCAGCGCACCTCAACCTCCCAAAAAGCCCCTTCCTTCCCCTTCAATTCCCTATGCCCCATCACCCGCCACGACCCCCATCCGCCCAGCACCCCCCCTCCCAGCAGCTGCACTCGACCGCAGTACATCCCAACGAGCACCTCCCAAATCATCCAAATCTCAGGACCTGGGACGCGCCAACACAACCATGACCCGGGTTCGATCCCCCAGTATCGGCACTAGCCAGACCGATCTTAGCACCAAAGGTCAAAGGGACCGCGACCGCGAACGGGATCGCGACCGTGACCGTGAAAGAGAGCGTGAAAGAGATCGTGACCAGCCTAAGCCCGCACCACCACCCCCACAACCCCCAACCCTGGCAAAGCAAGCTGGGATCGCTACCCCGCGTCGCAGGGAGAAAAAGGGCGGCGGTGATAAGGAAGACGATATCATCAAGCGGCTGCAGCAGATATGTACCGATGCGGATCCGACGAAGCTATACCGAAACCTCGTCAAGATCGGGCAAGGGTAGGTGGTGCTGTTTTCTTCCTTTCTTTACTGAGCCCTTTGTAGTGCCTCTGGAGGCGTGTACACGGCATACCAAGTGGGCACCAATTTATCAGTCGCGATCAAGCAAATGGACTTGGATAAACAACCCAAGAAAGACCTCATTATCAACGAGATTCTCGTCATGCGTGCTTCTCGACACCCGAATATCGTAAACTACATCGACTCGTTTTTGCACAAGAACGACCTTTGGGTCGTGATGGAGTATATGGAGGGGGGAAGCTTGACAGATGTCGTTACTGCGAACTTAATGACAGAGGGCCAGATTGCTGCTGTGAGCAGGGAAACGTGCCAGGGGCTGGAGCACCTCCATCGTCATGGCGTTATTCATAGGGATATCAAGAGCGATAACGTGTTGTTGAGCCTTGGGGGGGATATTAAACTCAGTGAGTGGCTCTCTTACGTGTGGTCGTGTCATTTTGACGTGCCCGCAGCGGACTTTGGGTTTTGCGCGCAGATTTCAGACCCTGCAAGCTCGAAGCGCACGACGATGGTAGGCACGCCTTATTGGATGGCCCCGGAGGTGGTGACCAGGAAAGAGTATGGGCCCAAGGTTGATATCTGGAGTTTGGGGATCATGGCCATCGGTATGTGTTTCTCCTCTTTTGTTTGTGTTGTACTTAACTGAAGATGTCTATATAGAAATGATTGAAGGCGAACCCCCGTATCTCAACCAAAACCCACTCAAAGCGCTCTATTTGATCGCCACGAACGGAACGCCTACGATTGCGAACCCCGAGGCGCTCTCGTCGATATTTAGTGATTATCTTGCAAAGACGTTGGAGGTGGACGCTGAGAAACGACCTACGGCGAGCGAGTTGTTGCAGGTGTGTCGTATCGGTTTCAGTTACCTGTGATTTGGACCTTATGTGTTTTTTACTTGAAGCATCCATTCTTTAAACAGTGCGAACCGCTCCGCACGCTTTCACCCCTTATCAAAGCTGCGCGGGAGATTGCTAAGAACAAGTGATCTGTTCGTCTTCCATCCCATTCCTGTCCTAGCCGATAACGGTAACCCACGCTCTACACCTGAACTTTAAGCTTCTTGTTGCTCCATGCCGAACCATCTACCTCTTGCATCTACCCGCCCACTGTAACGCACTCGCTGATACCAAATCCGTATACCGAGTTTTGTAATACATGCATCCATCCTCACCCCGTGTTCTAAACATCATACAACAATCGTGTCATATCAAATCATTCACCCAATTCATCTATACTTGTAGACGAAAATGCGCGCGTTCCTTTACAATTACGCGTCAAAGATTTCATCCTTTCTTTTTTGTACTTTTTTGCTTGTTTCTTTTTGCGGTGTTCTCTTTATCTCGTTTGTTTGTTTTACCCCCCGTGATTACCCCCACCCCACACCTATGACGACGACTGGACCTTTTGTGCTTGTCCTGCGCTCGCTTGTGTTGGAGTTTTTCCATTTTCTTCTTTTTGTGCGTGTGTTGTTTGATTGATGTAATCTCATGTCGTTTTGTCTGTCGTGTATGCACGATTGATCGATGTATAGAAATGAGAATGACAGGCTAGGGATACACAATGCACGTGGAGACTAATAAATTGAATGCTCAAAACTTGTGTAGTCCAGGAAAGCGATATAAGCATGCATAAGTAACTGATGAAGGATTTCATTTTAAAATGTCCTCGATGTCTAGAAGTCGGGACTCCATCCTACCAAGCCGGTCAGCGATCAACCAGACCAAGAATCAGAACACGGCCAGAACTCACCTTGGTAGATAGTCGCCAAATTCACGATATCCGTAGCCTCCGCTATGAGTTCATTGACCGTGTACTCTACACTCAGAGCCTTGTCGAGCTTGCGCGCGACGCCTGCAAGCGCACGATCGGCAGCTTCGTCTGCTGACCCGCTCTGAAGGTCTAGGGCGATGGCACCGAAGCGGGACACATCGCGGGCAACTCGGGTAGGCTCTGCTGTGTTGTCTTGGACTTTTTTAATCTTTAGCTCGCTCGCAGTCCTATTGTGGGGGATTAGTCAACGTTGAATGTGGGGAGGGAGAAGCAGACGTGCCAAGAATGCAGCGGGTCGTGTTTGAACACCTCAAGCACGGTGAGTATGACGTCTGACCTGTCACGCAACACGCGGAGGGTTTCTTCTGCGCAGCGCTGGAACACGCCTTGCGTCCCGCACTTCCCCATCCCATCGACCATGTCCCGCGTCATTCGGAACGGTACTCTTTCTGGGATACGCAACAGTTTTCCCTGTGCAGAGTGAGTGGACGTTTGGTCAGACATGATACAAACGCACTTGATCAAAAGCGATCCCTAAATCAATATGCACCACCTCTCCCGACCCATTATCAATCAGTATATTCTGTACATGGCGGTCCCCCAGACCTAGGATGTGCCCCACAATGGAAGTGGTAGCAACGCTGCGAGTGTAGTTGAGACGCATGGCGAACCAGGTGATGGGGGTTTTATGCTTTTCGGTAAAGTAGTGCCTCATCACGGGTTGGGTTCGTTCGCATATAAGTTGGAAGGTTTTGACCATCGTTTCGGTGTTTCCGCCATGTTTCTCGCGCGTTTGTTTTAACGTCGTTAGGATTTGTGTGTGTTTCATGTCGCCAGGACGGTACCTACGAATGCGCGACTTTTTAAGTTTGCCATAGACGGGAAGTGAGAGTAAATTACCTGAGGTGCGCGTCTTCGAGCCATTGTTGGAGGGGGTTGGTGTTGCCTACAAATTCGATGACTCCGGCTTGGGTGGCGAGAGGTAGAACTTTGTAATCGCGGACGTTAAGATTCCGTCTCCGAGTCTCCTTATCATAGCGCAGCATCATGTTGCACAGGTGGAAAACTTGCTCCATAACAGCATCCTGCCGCATATCATCGTTACCCTCGCCTTTGAACTACAGAGATGTCTGATGTCAGAACACGTATGAATTTTATGAAGATGACGTACGAGCTGCTTAAATTGTTCCCCATTGCTCCCATAGCAGACACTAATTTTCGGGTGACTGGCACCCCCGGCTATGGTGAATTCTGGGCGGTAGCGACTGATCCAGATACAATCGTTGTACTTGAGGGTTGGGTCGATGGGTGTACGGCAGGTTATGACAGGAACCTGGACATCGCGCAGCTTCCGAATGGACAAGGCATCGGGGATGAGTGGTCCGTTATTGGTTTTCTTTAGCACAGGTCCACGCTTGATGGGATACTTGGCCCATTCCAGAGAAGCGTTACAGACGTGCTCGATCGATCGGATCCTCGCTGTTTGTATGGGATCACTGAGCAGCCTATCGAAGATGGCGCTCGCAGCTCCACCGCGATCCGACTGCGATGATGGGAGCTCAAATCGCGAGGAAGTCCTTCGCACACCCTGGGGTTGCTCTGGACGTAAACAGAATACCTGGTACAGACTGTGAAAAGGATGCTCTTGACACATGCGCAAGACTAGTCCTTGAAGATTTTGCTGGTTCTTCGGGATCTCTGCCGAGGATTTTGACATACGAGCAGACAGCTGATGAGAGAGGAAGACAAACTTGCGGGAGGGCACGCGATCGAGAGCGGCTTTGAGCTTGTCCTGGATGCCGAGGTCGTCAAAATTCGCGAACCAAAGGGATGAAAAGCGGATGGGACCATCGTCATCAAAGCGATCGGAGGAAGCCAAACAGCGAGAGTACATGTCAATAGCCAGTTCAAGGAATGCGTCTCGCGCCTCCGTATGGCCCGCATAGGCCTTCAAATCTTCAGCTAGTACAGTTCTTGCTTTCTTTTGTTCTTCCACTAATGCATGGTACTCATTTGTTCCTTGTTGGGTTTTCTGCAGCTGGCTCTCTCTCTGTTTGACCTCCTGTTTCTTGCGCTCTTTATAGATGTGCCAGCGCATGGCGTCTGACGACTTCAGGATCGAATGATACTGTTGGTCTGCAAAAAGCGCACACTTGCGGAAAACAGTGGCACATGCATGGTCGCGAACGTCCGTCCGCTTCTCGGCTGCGATGGCGAGCTCGACGGCAGGATCAAAAAATTTGCGCTTGATGTCAGTTGGTTTTTCTAGGCATGCCTCGGCGATCCAGTCTCCCTGTCAAAGATATGAATAACTTGCACTATTACAGAAAAAAAGAGCATACCAGTCGAGCAAACGACAACGCCTTTTCTATCGTACCATCAGCACCCAAGTCCTGACCATTTACCAAGTCCTTCAGGTACTGCACTGCTAACTTTTGCTCCTTCTGGAGCCACAGAACGTTGGCGAATTCACGAGCAACTTCAAAGCTGGCGTTTTTCTCGAGTCGCTGGGCTTTCACGATAGAGTTCAATGCCACTTGCAATTGATTAGATTTCCGAGCGGCAATGGATAGGCGAACGAGGCATCGCTTCTCGATGTCTAGAATCCCACGGACAAATGGTGTGGCGAGATCACCGATTTGCTTTCGTTCTTCTCTCTGCCTGACCGACCGTACCAATGAGATCCTCGTTGCAAGAATCTGTTCCAAATAGGTAAATCTGTCGCACATGAAGAAGATCAACGCAAGCTAGATCACAATCATTGTCAAAACTCACTCAAAGTCGGAATTAATTTCATCGAGCTTGGGCAGATTGCGGATATCTTCTGACTTGCTTGAAAGCTGCTGCTGCATAGAATGACTCCTCCACTGGGTAATCTGACCGAGACACATTATGTTACGAGCAACCTCGCGGATACCCGAGATGTTCTCAGTGCCAAGCTGCCGCAGGCGGGTCATTTCATCGCCAAGCGAGTTGCGAACAATGACGTCGACTACACGCGGGTCCCGTTCCCTATACACTGCTCGCAGCGCCTGATAAAGCGTGGCCCCGGAACCATCCCCTGTATTGTCAGGTAAGTCCCAGGTTTCAGTACGCCAACCCAGTTGGTAGCACATGGCGGACGAGGAGTTCCTCGTGTCGAGGCCAATTTGGGACGTCTGAAGAGTGCCAATAGCAAGACGGTCGAAGCCAAAAGCATGGAAAGAACTGAGCAGACCGTCTGCGTCGACTGCCTCAGGGCTTCCGGCCTCAAGGGCAGCACCGTGGAAACGAAATGCTTTCTCCCACTGCTTCTCATGATGAAACCGTTTGATGAGGAAATGCCGTAGATCAGTGGTCTTGATCCCGTAAAATCCATCGGGTTCGTCGATGTGGCTGTAAATTTCGAAAAGGAGATGTTCTGTGCCTGCTGTATTGTCCATATCCAAGGACTGGTACTCCTCCGCGAGCTCGAGGAATAGGAGAGCAGTCGTATACGCGCCGCATGTCACTGCACTTCTTGCAAGGAGCATGTAATCGATATCAAGCCATTTGTCATGAGCCAGAGAATCAGTGGATCCTTTCGGGCAAAAGTTGCGAAGGTGAAGCACGACGCCGACAATGGACCTTAAGCAGGACAAATGGACATTCTCCAACACTAGCATGGTGCTGAAATATTGTGATAGACGAGATTTCGAAGGCGCACCCGTTGATTCTGGTTGATCAAGTTCGTTCTGCAGCAAAATGTGGACCAATACGGGAAGCATTTCATCGGCAAAAGAAACATCGCACTCCATAAATGTTGAGAATTGTGCGTAAAACGGGTCTACAGCGCTGAGCACGTCGCTGAGCAAGACCGCTAGCTCGCTGACCCATTTCTGGTATTCAGACTCCATACGACACTCAACCGTCGCCTTAAGTTCGTCAATGCCGCGAACACACCGAGACCTCGCTTTGATAGGATATTGTTGGAGATATTCCAAAGCAGCTCTCGACTCGATAGGCCAAGATTGAAGGAGGAGCATGTCCGACGAAGAAGCTGATACAACAGATCGAAGGGTGGAGTAAGCGAGACTGACTTCTTGTGGTGAGTTTCCGTCCACCATAGCAAGCAGCGTCTGAATGATCACGCGCTGGGGTGAAGATTCCATCTGTGACTTTTTTGCACTGCGCCGATGTCGTCCTCGCAATGTTTGCAGAAAGGGCTGTTCACTTCCGAAGCTGTAGATGTCTCCATTATTTGCAATCAATAAAGAAGCGAATGCGTCGATATCGTCAGATTGGAGCTGGTCCCTGGCAGGAATGAAATCCTTCAGGCGCCAAAAATCTGTCTTAGCGAATTGCGCTTGATCATAGAGGCGCTGCTCTGCGAGGTCTCGAAGCCGTCTGACAAGGCGAAATTTGTTGGACGCAATGCGAAAGTCGCTCAAAATCATCGAAAGACCATCCGCAGTGATATCCTCATAAACTGACAACAGCTCAGACGAGGGCTGATGCGGCCAAGCTGACAGGGCGTTCATGACCTGCGACCTGATCTTGGAACTTCTGCAAAGCTCGAGAGCTTGCCTGTCGATCCAATGCAACAGACCCTTGCCTATGTTCGCGATTTGAACGTCATCGGTGGCCAGTGAATAGTCATGAGCCTGAGCGCACACGCGAATGAGCACATCAGGAAACCTTGGATCCACTTGAGACGTCAAGAGATACACGGTAAAGCCCCATTCGAGGAATGAGCGAGCCGCCTGTACGAGGTCCGCCTGAGCGAGAAGAGAAGTTGCTTCATGAATCAGGGTGTGGAGTAACGTGGGTTCTTGGAAGTCCTCATGACGGACCGCTACTAGAAGAGAAATGCCATTCAGTAGGCGGATCTGTTCATTGACTAATGGTGATCTCTGGACTTCGGAGAAAAGCTGGTGGAGGACATGATAGGATATGGCTTTGACGTGATCGCAGATCGCGAGAGAAATGCACCAATTGAGAGCTCGTAGGACAGTGGATGAGCCAAACGCGGGAAGATTTGGGCTGTGTAGGTTGAAGTCACCCAAGGTTCGGTACTTGGACAGAACTTTGAAAACCTGAGCGGAGTGGCTCGAATCATGCGCCTTGATTGCTTGCATGATCGGGCCATCGGCGGAGAAGTCTTGGTCACCTAGGCAACGAATCACTGCTGCTGCAATGCTCGCCGCATTTTGCTCTACACAGTTGTTGAAACCCTGTTCTTGGCCAAGGTCAACTCCCTTGACCTTTAGCATCCTTTTCAACTGCTCCGGTGGCGTATTACAATCAACTTGTCCATCATCCAGCCAAAACACAAGTTGGAATCCGATGAGATCACCCAAGCATTCCTGCAAGCCATCAGCAGCTGTCTTTTGAACTGCGGCGCAGTGAGCCAGGAATAGTCGGCGGCCATGATCCACTGCTTCTGAATTTCCGCCTGCCATGACATTGGTGGGCGTAAAAAGACGGAAGGTTGCTTCTGCGCATTCCTTTCGATCCCGGTAGCCAAGGAGCTCAGGAGAGAGACCACACACATCCTGGGAAGCCTGTCGAATGGAGTACGCAATCTGTGAAGCGTAGGCTTCAAAGAGGTCCGACAGTTTAGGGAGTCCAAGTCTCTCAGAAACGCCAGTCAGAGTCGCTTGGATATGCTTTGTGTAATGTGAACTATGAAAAGCCGCTTCGATCAAGTGCCAGTAGGGTCCACGCCTCACAGCGGAACTCACGACCATGATATTGCCGAGGCACAAAGTACGAGTGAGCATTTGCTCATAACTGTGTCCTGATTGTCAGTGGTTAGATAAAGAAACAGAAGAAGACTCACTTCGAGAGATCCTTCGTCAACGCCTCTTTGATAGTATTGTACATATCAAGGGAGTTCCGACCAGCAAAGCGAGCTAGGGTGAAGAGGCGAGCATTTACGACTGCAGCCCGGAAGCGTACACGGATATCTTGATCCATGTTCAGCATTGGGATAATGGTAGAGGGTTTCTCTACAGGTTTATTTTGGCATACGGTTGGCCAAAAAGACTCGGAAGGATCTTGGGCGATGTACCTAGCAAAAAATTGAGAAGCGAAATCGCGCGTTTTCCATGAAACAAATTTCCTCTTCATCATGTTATGACTGAGCCAACCGCACAAGTCGCGGATATGGTCTCCGACATCAGTGTCCACGTTTGACTTCTGAAGCCAAAAATGCGAAGTGGAGTCCAGTAAATTAACAGCCATAAGCTGCAGATCAACATTACGACCATGAGTGTGCGATTCAAGAAGATCTCCTAATTTGTCGAGGAGCGCGTTGAGGACATCGATATCCAGACTCCAAACTCGCCGTCGAACTGATCCTAGGACTGCATTGCCTATCAAAAGCAATCTTTCTGCGGGACAATGAACTATGAGCTTCGTCAACTCTTTGTCACGCAAGACTTCCGCAGACGAGGATCGAAGGACAGGTGTCGTCGCGAGGAATGTGACACATAGGTCAGCAAGGTACTGGTTTGCAACGGTGATGTCATCATGAGCAGCATCCTCTTGTGTTGGTGGTCGTGTGTGAGTTGTCATGATATCGCCAAATCCGTCTGCATCTACAGCATGAACATCTTGCGCTCCTTGGTGAAGTTGGCCTGTCATAGTACGAAGAGATTCCCGAAGGGCTTCAGAAACCGCGGAGAATGCATCTTGAATCTAAAAATTTGTTAACATATTGAACACTGGTATGTGGCGCAACGAGAACCCACGTCCGAATTTGCCCAAAAGATACGCTGAAATAGCCGTCGAACTGTCTGAGAGTGATGTCTCTCAGAGAGATTTTGTTTCAGGCCCTTGAGAGTGTGCGATCTAATACCAGAGCCAAGATCCGGGCCAAGCATAGCTTCCCACTCCTCATTTGTGCTACGCTCCTCTCCATTCATTACTAGGGGCTCTAGAGCGTGTAATATTAGCACGCGTTCATCTGCTGTCCAGCGTGGATCTGTTAAGAGTGGTGCAAGAAGCGACATTACTCGGCCGGCGGATTGCAGAACGCGTCGATTACACCGCATTCCATTCCATACAAGCAGAGTCTCAAACGCAAAGGCGGTCACAACAGCATCGAGTGATTGACGGAGCTTTTCGGCAGTGGGGTGGGCGTTGGTTTCCCTGAACGTGTGCCACTCGACGGTGAGAGATTCCATCGCTTTGAGCAGAGACGAAGTCACTCGACGCTCGCGCCCTCGGGGCTGAACGAGCTCGGAGTCGATGGTCAACTCGTCATTAACAGAGCTGCGTGTAAGTCCGTCGCAGCTTGTAGATACGGCGTCCTTGCGGAAGGAAGGAAGTTGAGCATCAAGCAGGAAACCGCGGATGACCTTGGTCTTCCGTTCTTCCTCCATGAGCTCCACGATCGCACAACCGGGAAATAACATGCGACAGAGAAGGTCGCTTCGCTTCGACATTCCACATATGCTCTCTAGCAACCCAAGAATGTCACCAATGGTGTGAAGTGGCATCCGGGATTTCCCACTAGTATCCTTCACCGCCTGCCCAGCACCAATTCTCCAATTATCAAGAAGCCAGCTAAGAACCTTCTCCTCCAACTGCATCCTGTACAGCCTCACATCTTGGCTTGCAACACGCAAACATTGTGCCAGAAACATACATACAGAATCATAGGGAAATGCAGGGCCCTGCAGATCCAGATCCTTTGCCAGGGTCTCGATTTCGATCAGAACTCGCTGAGATGTTAATAGGAGTTTGGAGTGAATGATAAGTGTGTGTGCGGTATGACATGCTGCTCTGCAAACCACAGGTACGTTGGCTCTGCGCATGGCATGAGTCCACACAGGATCCCAGACAGCGGAGTTACGGACGGCAACTGGCGGTGACTGGGTTGCATGTGAACTCAGGAGGCCATCTGACTGTGCAATTGCGGCGAGGCATAGGAAAGTCCAGGATTGGATGATGGGATCATCGACGGAAACAAATCGCAGCAAGGTGTTCATTACATTCTCTTGGAGTTTGTTGTCCCTGTGCAGGCACGACCAGTATCGATCAATGAAAAATAGGAGAACTTGGAGATGATACGTCCGAACGCCGGAAGCGGTTGTCGACTGTATGGAATGAAGAAGAGACGCTATAGGGTTTTCACGCTTGACACGCTTTCCTATGCTTTCTTTACCATCCGAAGTACCAGCGTGCTGCCACTCGGAGTAATCGAAGAGCTATATTACAGCGGTCAGTTTGTATACAGTCAATTAATAGATGGGGACTCGCCTTCTTCGCACAGTCAGCTTGTAACTCCATTAAAGCCCATGCAAGGGCTTGAGAATAATCAAAATGCCATCCGGCCCTGAATGTGTGAGCGACAAACACTCCACGTCCGTAGTTCTCGGTGTTCGAGGGAAGTATCTCGAGCCTCAAAGAGTCGAGAGACAGACTATCAAGACTGCGTCGACTCTCAGCCTCGCTACTCAGGAGGGTCCAAAGTTTGTACACTCCATCAGCCCAAGCGGTATACGCATGAAGCTCATTATGCGCAAAGAACGGGAATAACGTTCTCAAAATACCAACCAGACTTTCTTTCATGCGCTTGTTCTTGGTACCCCACAGTCCAACCAGTTGGTTCCATGTTGAATGAGCGAAAGTTTTAACGTCCTTTGTCCGATTTAGGCAAAGATGGGACAATACTGGCTGCAGGGCAAGAAGGTAGTCGTGGTGAAGGGATGCGTCACCGGGGTAGCGTTCTAAGAATCGTGTCATGCGGGCCAGGATAGACAACGATAAGTTTGGTATATCCTCCGAAAGGAAGGGAGCTGTGGGAGAGCGGAACAGAAGGACAAGTAGGGAAGCACATTCGACTTGCTCCAAAGAAACCGAATGGTGAACAGGGGCCTTGAGCAATCTTGTAGGATGTGTAGCACCTGGGACAGGCGTGGAACTGTGTTCCCCTGCCTTGCGCTTGCGCTTTTGTGTTGATGCAGAGGGCTCGCGATCGTCACCCTCGTCAGAGTCATCTTGGTACATGGCGGAAAGGTCGACTTGCATGCTCTCATCATTATTCTCTCCAGTAACGTCGTCGAACTTTCTCTTTATGGGATCGTCTAAAATGATGTTAAAAGCCAATTCAGCTATGCTGATCCAAGTGGCCGCGTCGATGTGGTCCATGTGTGGCATCCAGCTGAGAAGTATCTTGATGGTCTTGAGGTAGGAAAGAGCGAGCGGAGTGTACAGCTGTCCACGGTAAACCATCATTTGTAAGAGATGAGTTAGGAGGGGTGTCAGGACTTTGGCAGTGAGCCGGCAGTTGCTTCTCTCTACTAGCCAACGAACGGTGGTGGCGGCATCCCCAAGTCTGCGCAGGGCAGCAGCACCTGTCGATGCATTCTTGCCTGACGCAGCTTTCTTGACACATTCTGCCTTTTCACTGGTAACTGCTGTGAAGAGGGCCTGATACACGACCAGCCAGGCGCGTCCCTCCTCGAGATTGAGGACAGTATCATCGCGTGAGAAAGCTTCTTTGAGAGCAATTATTCCTTCTTGTCGTTCCTTGACCTTGGAGCTTTGCAGAAGCTCGACGACCACCTTCAACTTGGACATTATAGCTTTGAGCTGGTGAAAGCAGCACGAGCGATTCCGATCATTGGTTTAGTGGCGTAATCACATGATGTACTGATTGAGTCTAAAATGTTTGGTTATATTTGGTAGAAATGTCGAATATTATAAAAAAGCTTTCTGTTCGTTTTTTCTCTTCTCTTTATACATATCATAACGGCCTCTTTCTGCCCGGACAGTGCTTTATGCTTCTACCCTGTACCGGTTCTGGTGAAGTGCCGAGACGAACGGTCGTCTCTCCGTCTAATCAACGTGGAGATAGGCAGTTGAGAAATGCAGATTTCATTTTTCAGAAAGTCTGACATGGTTATACTCTGCCTTACATATCCCTTCAAAGAATCTTTCCTTCGCTGCTAGTTTATCATACTTGTGAATGTAACAAATGGATCCAGGTCTGACATCAGTCAAATAGGCTATCTCTGATGATCATTTAGTTTCAAGCACCAACCGAACTCAGCTCTTACAGTACGCTTCGCATCCATGTTGACAAGTTCGGCGTCTTGACACAAGTTTATGTAATAAGGGTGACGGTTTTGAGTCACGTGGATAGCTGTCAGACGCGTCGCTGGTTTAACGCCCTTCGACAACCCCTTGACTTCGCGCACGACTTGTTTTCAACCTTTATTTTGTTCGGAAAAAATCTGACGACGCTTCCATCAATTTCTAGCCTTTGCCGTAGTTCCCAACTCTCCACGCTGTATAAGCTTGACGGCCAACATGTCCAGTGGAGGTCAATCATCGCTTTCTGGATTACGTACAATCAAACGCGACTGGTCACAAAGCAGTTCTCAGTCTGAGGACCGTATTTCATGGCCGGCCACCCAGCCCGCCCAATCTCAGTCTTCAAAGGCACCTCAGGCTGAAGTTCGATCACAACGTATGAAAGATATCCAACTTGCGCTTGATGCGCTCGCGGGGAAGCAACCACCTGGAGAACGGCCAGAAATCAGCACGAAACAAATAGCGAATGGGACCAAACGACCCCTCCCACCTGCTCCAGATCCGCCACCGGCAAAGAAACGTCAGCTTCCGCCCAGTTGGAATGAGGACACGCTATCCTCCTCATCTAACTTCAAGTCCTCGAGCAAATTTTCTTTACCAACAGTAAAGTCTACGTCGTCGACAGTCGCTCCCTCGTCATCAAAATCTAGTTCCAGCCTTGCTGGAGTGTTCCTTAGTCAGGAACAGACACAGATTCTTCGCCTCGTGGAAAGCGGGAATAGCGTGTTTTATACCGGTAGCGCTGGTACGTTGTAAATAAACTCTCATTTTGTGATTTTGCCTGAACGTATGCTGATAAGGTACTGGGAAATCGGTCCTGCTCCGAGAAATCATTCGCACATTGCAAAAGAGATACATCAAATCTTCTGATGCTATTGCCATTACTGCATCAACGGGTGAGGACGCATATACTCACCGTTTCATGTTTTCTTATATAACATGGCTAGGAATTGCGGCATGTAACATCGGTGGCGTCACGATCCATTCATTTGCAGGCATTGGCATCGGAGAAGGCTCAGCGGAGGAACTCGTCAACAGAGTCCGTAAGAACAAGAAAGCTGCCTCGAGGTGGTTGCGGACAAAGGTCCTCATTATCGATGAAGGTACGTTCGTTTAGCAACTGCAGACTTCTGCATCACACGTATCTTATCATTAGTTTCAATGTTGGACGGAGAACTCTTTGACAAACTTGCACGAATTGGCAGTTTGATACGGAAATCTTCAGAACCATTTGGAGGAATTCAGGTTCGCCTCGCAGTCCGTTTCACTCAACACCACTAAAACCGATTGTAGGTCGTGGTCACTGGCGATTTCTTCCAACTACCCCCCGTCGGAAAGGGTACTAGTCAGGTCAAATTTGCTTTTGAAGCTCAGCTCTGGAGCCAGACTATCAAACGTACATTCAATCTGAACAAAGTCTTTAGGCAAAAAGATCAGCGTAAGGAAGAAGAAATCAATCAAACTTCTATACTAAGCGTTCTTCAGAATTTGTTGATATGCTCAACGAAATGCGTTTCGGGCGGCTTTCGCAAGAATCAATTGCCAGGTTTAAGTCTTTGTCACGACCCATTAACGACGAAAATGGTCTGGGAGCAACCGAGCTGTCAGTCTTCTGTTCAATTTGACGGTTGCATCAATTGATTCAATGCAGCTTCCCTCGTCGAGAGGACGTGGAAAGATCCAACAATGGCCGCATGTCTCATCTTCAAACCGAGAAAAAAGAGTACTCTGCTTCGGACGGCGGGACGATCACCGATCAAATCCAGCGTGACAAAATGCTTGCAAACTTCATGGCACCGAAGAATCTTGTTCTTCGTGTCGGTGCCCAGGTCATGTTGATCAAAAACATTGATGAGACGCTCGTCAATGGCAGCATGGGCAAAATTTTACGTTTTGTTGACCCAGCGTTGTACGGGACCGACTATGATGATGTTGATGGTAGCGGTAATACAGGAAAGCCCAAGTCAGAAAGGAAGAAAACCGCAACGACGAACATGCTCATGCCGGTCGTGGAATTTGCGGTGCCAAACAGAGGGCGCAGGGAAGCTCTAATTATGACTGAAACCTGGAAAGTTGAGTTGCCTAGTGGAGAGGTACAAGTGTCCAGGATACAGGTGTGGCGTTTGATTGTCTGATTATACCTGCGCACCTAACCCTTGGTGGTAGCTGCCCTTGATATTAGCTTGGGCAATGTCCATCCACAAATCGCAGGGGCAGACACTCGAAAGAGTCAAGGTAGACCTTGGCAGAGTGTTCGAAAAAGGTTCGTTGTGGTAGCCAATTCTTGTCCTCACATTTGAAGTAACCGTTCCCGTTCAGGACAAGCATACGTTGCACTGTCTCGAGCAACTACATTGGAGGGTCTGCAAGTTCTGAATTTCGATCCAAAGAAGGCGAGAGGAACTTATTTTCTCTCTGTACAGCCGTGCTCACCCCCCTTCAGGTACAAGCACATCCCAAGGTCGCTGAGTGGAGTAAAACGCTCGAGACCATCTCTGCAGACTGATCCATTAGCATCTGGAACATTGGCATTTTTTTCTCTTGTATCGTCATTGATACTTCTATTTCATTACCACGCACATAGAGATTGACCACCAGAAGCCTACCTTATGATCGGATATGTATTTATACTTAGGAGTGCATGCTCGATAGTACTGCTGAGTTGTCAGCCTCGCCTAAACAAGCTTTTCGTTCAGAATGCTCAGTTTTGCAACCTGCTATCTAGCTTTGCCTTCAAAATCTCAGGAATACTTTAATAAACAATTATGTACATCGCCGCTGCCGCATACTAATAGCTACGGTAGTCAGCCGCCTGGCCAATTAACCACCACACCTAGTCCCTGGGATTGTCTGTAGCTAGACGCTCTTTCCAATACCTAAGACCCATCTCTGAGTCTAGACTCTAAATCAACTGTCCCCTGTCCCCTGCCAACTGACCAACCACCTGGTGGTTCAGGCAGTCTTATTCTAGCAGTATGTGCCCGATTAAGATTTCAACTTCTCGTTTCAAAACTGATGTCCACTTCAGAACCATCCACCTACGATATGAGTTTTTATTGTCCAGAAGTAACTGAATGGGAGTCCAGTACGTGCCTGGCAGTTGCAAGCTTTAAACGTTTCAAAACTAATGTTCACTTCAGAACCACTCACCTGCGATGTAACACTTTCCTGTCCAAAAATAACCACAAACAGTCTTACCCTACCATCGAAAGCACAAACAGAGATTGACGATGAACTCGCGGCACTTAAAGAGATGATGCGATCTCTTCGAACCCGCCGAAACAGTTTCTCCCCAATATCCTCCATACCTCCAGAGATCCTTGGCGTCATCTTCATCCATCATGTTCAGCAGACCCAGTTGGTTTATGCTCCTGATGCCCCTGCTGTTCTTTCATGGCTCAAAATCGGACATGTTTGTCGCCATTGGCGCGAAGTTGCTCTTGGGACACCGGAGCTATGGGCTACTCCGTTTCTTAATTCCTTACAAGCCACGGAAGAAATGCTCTCGAGGTCCAAAATGGCTTCCTTGAAGCTGAAAACCGGTCGGCGATTTCTTATGGACTGCGTCCAAAAGACATTGATGCATGTAGAGCGTTTGCAAGAGGTCTCTCTCCCATTTTTCAGTAACAGCTTCGGTAGTAGCACGATGCATTGCTGTATACCGAAATTCCTCGACAGATTATCATCTTGTTCCGCTCCCAAACTACAATCGCTTTGTTTGGAAGCAGGGATTAAACAAACACCACGGATATCAATCCCGATTTCTTTCCCCGCACCCAACCTTCGCAGTCTCCAAATCAAGAACTGTGACATATCATGGACATCTTCTGTCCTTACAGGACTCACTGTCCTTGATATCAAAAAATTATCACCAGAATGCCTTCCGACTCTGGACGAGTTGATCTCTGTGCTCCGTCGTATGCCTGCTCTACACACTCTCGAGTTAGAAGATGCTCTCCCGACTCTTCCCCCTCAAACGATATCGCTCCCTCGCGCACCTCGCTTCATGAATGTTCGACTGTCTCACTTAAAAAAGTTACATTTGGCGGCGAAGATGTTGGAGGTGGCCAACATGCTAGCTCGCATTGAATTACAGGAATCGACAACAGAAATTCGACTTGTATGCGAGGGCTTTTCAGGAAATCCAAATCGTCAATGGAATTTGAGCCGTCCCATCATATCTCGCGCCTTGAAAAGTTGCTTCAAAGCCAGTCCAGATAAGTCTCGACAAGTCCCGCGTTCCATCCAACTATATAGCACTACTACTAGTTGCATTCGTTTGCACTCTAGTACGGTCCGGAACCCTTCGTCGTGGGCGGGGCCAAAGTTTGGGATGGATCCGGATTCGTTGGCGGAGCACTCTGTTACTCTCGAAATTGACTTCCCTGATGAGATGAGGAGAACAATCCTTTGTGACTTACAAAGGGTTGTTCCTCTTGGGAATATCGAGGCTATGTACTTCCACTTTTTCTTCCCTTGTTGGGATGGTTTCTGGACTGATGTTCTTGGCCACGGCGCTACTCGTAATCTTGCATACATGCACATGCACGGACCACGCCAAGCTCTTGAACAACTCCTTAAATCCCTACGTTCACGGAAGTACAGTGTATCGCGGCACGTAAACAGGCGTTCACAACAAAAACCCATTTTTGCCCCAGCACTCTCCCATCTCGTCCTTTACGGCCTAGAGTTTAGCTCCTCCGTCTGGAACGGGATTCGGCCCTCTGATCTCCTTGACGTGCTCATTGATCGCGTCAACGAAGGTCAGGGGTTGGACCACCTTGAGTTTATTTCAACCACGGGTATACTCGCCCGCGACGTGCAGTTGTTGCAAGAGGTGGTGGCCGATGTGAGCTGGGATGAATACGAAAGTTCCATAGACGAAGATTTCGACCAGGACGATGACTCATATGATAGTAATTATTTTGATCCCATTTATCATAACTATGGTTTCGACAGTGACTACGGATATTCCTCCTAAAATAATTCTGTCGAGTACTAACTATGTTCAGATACTAAAGGCCAGAATTACAATGATGCTGGGTTCATTGTGCGTTTGTAACATTCAATTCTGCAGTCCGTTGTCTGTCGTGTAGTAGGGGGGCGGCGCCCTCAGTCCTTTGGGATGAAACAATTAAGCATCAAGAGACTTTTGCTAGGGTTTGGCGTTGCCGACTTTCACCTCGCTCCGTTGCACGTGGTGTTATGAATTCCTTCTTAATGCTTTCGATTCGGCCGATGAGCCACAGCAAGGTGTGAACGAAGACGGCGTTAAAAAGGAAAAGGGTTTCTTTATATTTGAGCCAATATCGTTGTATCCAGCCTGATCACCACTTGTCACCAAAATGGCTGACACTTTCAGATGATATGTATCTCGACACACAACTGTGGTTCTGGAAAACGTAGTATGTTCGCAATAAGATAAAGGTGAAGAAAATAGTTTGACCGAGTAACAATAATACCATGACTCTTGACCTATCGTTGTGACACAATCTTGATGAGGACTCTGAGTGTCCCTCCTTCCCGCAACGCTATGCACGGTCTGCCTTGTCTTCACCAATTGTTGCATGTACGATTAGCTGTGCAACCACTTCGCCCTGTAGTACAATGATCATATTCATCTTTCACAGATTGCAGTGCAAACGATTCACCAACTCCACTATGGACGACCACAATCAGCCTTTGAGGAAATGATCAGATCGAATCATTTAATTTTAACACCGCAGTAGTTCTCACCGAATAATGATCCACGTTATCCGTTCCATTGCATTGCTGTTCAAATGATCATGCATGACATCGAGCTGAAGACAAAAACAAAAAACAATCAGCTACTTCTCAAGCCGAATGGCAACGAAACACTCACAAATTAGCTCGCCATTCCGAGTTCAATCTCGTTCAGTGTACGCGTCCATCAATTTCTATATATTCTCGTACAGTCCTCCCAGACTTGCCTGCTGTGGTGTCAATACATTCCTAGGGGATGAAAGCACAAAAGAGGCAACAGAGTGGTATCGTGCGAAAAACGTAGACTGGGCGATGCCCTGCGCAACGGATAGTTTGAGCAGATGGGAAGGCGACTTGAAAGCTACGTTCTTTTAGTAGGGCTCACAAGATACGATTTGAAAAACTCACTGAAGAAATCATGATATATGCGAGGGTATGAAATCGTTGGGTCATGCTAGATGAGAAGCAGTAGAGGTTATAGGATAATGTCTTGTCTTTCATCTAGTCCAAAGAAAACAGTAACACCATAAGCAAAGAAAACCACTTCCGCGATACGCTCTTCTTCTTTCACCTTGACTTGCTCGTGACTCTCGCTCTCTGCCCTTGCGCCGTGCTATTCACCCTCACACTCTGTTTCCCCTTCAACCTCAGATTCCGCATGGCATCCAGACGTCATAGGCGGCCCTATATCCGTTCGAAGTCCTTGGACGTGAGTCTTCCTGAGGGATAAAGCTTAAAGTATGAACCCGATAGCCATTTTCTGAACTTCGCCAAGGCGTTTCCGGAGAGATTTGGCTTCCTTGACAGGGGCTGCGGAAGAACAGATACTGGTGTTAGGCCCAGGAAGGAGCGGCAGGGATACATCAATGAGACCAGTCAGGGCAAATTACATGATATGTGAGGTTGATGCTGAGGCCTGAGGTTTCAAGCATTCGCGGTATTGCAAAACTTATTACCAACAACGTTTTGAATCCCGATATATCCGTTGTGTATGCCGAAACGCTTGCATTAGCAAAAGATTGAAAAATGGAGCGGTTTGGGAGCTACTACTAGTAGCTAATTATGCTTTCTTCGCTTAAGTTCGCACGACTATGATACCTCCCACACGCGAATCATGAATATTACGGTCGCTTCGAACACTGACAAACATGTGTTTGTACTGTATACACTCGGTACGCAATGTTTTAGTATAACAGTGGGGTGTTTATTTCTTGTACTTGCTACGTATGACAATGTATTCTCAACTCTGCATGTACACATCTATTCATACATTGTCATATCTCATCATTAAATCATAAACGTTTGAACACCAGCGTCCCATAAATACGACCAACACACCCCAGGTCTACAATAAATAAACCAGGTGTCATAAAATCGTGGTCAATGCGCTTCGCACATCTTTCGTGTCACTGAGGTCTGCAAGAAGGGGGCAGATGTCTATAAGTTCGGTATCGTGAGGATCGTTAAACCATGAGGATATAGGCACGGCGTTGTTGGGGTGGAAGATATATGATGCCGGTGAATTGTCGATGATGATGGTATCTGCCATGGGACGTCCGAGTTGCGACAGGTCCTGAAGATAAGGATGATCAGATACGGAATCTTATCTGCAGGGAGCAAACGAACCTTTACATAGTTTCCTCTATAGCGGAAACAACTTTCCCGGAAGAGCCTATGCGAAACAGCATTGTAGATATCGAGATGGTCCATCACCGGATCCGCATACTAAATGAGACGAAACAAGGAAAAGAAAGACATCAGTTGAATTTTATAACCCAGCCACCTGTGATGAACGCACGGAACCCAGACTTGCGGTGTACACTACTACTTCGTACAGCTCACCCATCTGTCGAAGAAACTCGTCTACTCCTGGTCGCTTCTGTACATACATATTGTGCCAGTGATTCTCGATTTCGACAGGAACGACGAAGTCTGGATCTGGTACGGGCTGACAGCGAGGTACGTCAAAAGCAGGTATAGAATTGGAGTGAAAGATATACCATGAAGTTACTATGGACGAGGGTCTCGTCCAGGTCAAGCACTAAACACTTCTTGCCAGCATGTTTAGGCGCGATGGGTGGGAGAAGTGGCCATGGCTTTCCGTCCTGTAACTGCAAGTCAGAAATATATCCATTGAACTACGGATCCACTCACAGAGCCCATGGGAATGCCAGCTCCCCCATTCCTGATCAACATTTCATCTTCCTCGCTTAACTCATCAAACGGAATATCATCCGACTCGTTACCATGTTCGGACGGGCGACTTGCAGAGGTCTTTAATACTTGACCAGGAACAGAAGAACCTGGCGGTTGTACGGCCCTACTGGTAGCGCCCGCAGTCTCTAGCAAGTCCTTAGGAGGTACAGCAGGTTGACCTTTCTCCTGCGAGGGTGCGACCGGAACTACTGATACGACTGGTGCTTTCTCAGAAAATTGCTTCACAGAATTGTCCGCGGTCTTGTGAGCCAGTAGAGTAGGACCCGAGCCAACGCTTGCCACCCCATCGACGTCGATGTCATGAGCTCGGGAATCGTCTCCGACGCAGCAGAAGAGCTTGCGAAAGAACGTGGCCAAGAAGCTCTCTTTGGATTTCTTGACACGTTTGATCTCAGAAGACTCCAGAAATGAAGCGTGATCTTTAGATTGAGAGCGACACCGGAGACTGCTGCGCCTGGAATGACTTTGGGAAAGGAGTGTGGAAGTGCCTGCGGATTCTTCGCGCTTTTCAAGTGCCGGAGATGCAGTAGATGATGAAGAAATATATGCAGCACTGCCTACATTCTCTTTGGAAGAAATAGAGGGACGAACGCGTGGTGGGACCTGCCGGTCAATGGCATGTGGCGTCCTCGATAATGAATCCTTCGAAGGTGCGGACGCAGCAGCTTTTTTGTAAGCTGTAGATTGAGTATCTGATGGCATGATGATTACAGTCCCGGTATCTATCAGGAGAGCGTTGTCGAACGAGAGGTCCTCAACAAATGACAAGCAGAATGAGTACGAGTGTCGAACAGCAGTAAGCTTGAAGGGAGGTATTGAACTACTGCGATTGTGAACAGTCGATATAAAAGGGGGAGAGTTGATGCAGGGACCTACTAGTACAGACACTTGAAGGCCGTGGTCCAACCGCAACCTGCCTACAGCGTTGCCTCCCGTTAAGCAGCACTTGCGGCCGTCAACCTAAGCGTCAATTAATTGCGGCCGCGCGGAAACAACAAGGCAGCGCCAAAAAAACGTTACATATTGCGGTCTGTCGGCCGTAATGTGAATCCGAACCAGGTACGGCATCTTGGATCCAGTGACCCATCATATCTGTCGATGATCACTGGCTCAGCAGATGCGACTGAGATAACAAGTCCTTCACAAGTTGAATCCAGTATCACGCACAAAAACTAGTACAAGTAGGATGAAAAAATTGCAGTCATTTTCAAATTGCACTACATGAATTGATAGGAGGATGATTTTACTACATAAAGTGACCAATCTTTGGTACTAGCGGTCACCTACATCACAGCTTACCTATGTCAAATGCGAACGTACGCTGACCTTGTTTGTGGCACCCATATGCATAAAGCTTGAAGCAGGGGAACTGCGAACCATCAAATGTCCGAACTGCTTTGCACATGAGAAATCTTCCGTAAAACGTCTGATTTCACATAGAGGTAATTCCAGGAACTGGAGCAACAAGTTGGCTGAACACGATCTTGATCCGACTCATTCTTCTTTAGGGGTTAGGCGGCCTTCATAGCGGTCGAGGTCAAGGCAAGGCAGTGCGTCACCTCATCAAAACCGATCGGCCCTGGCAAGTGGACGCAGATAAGGAAGTATGCGCCGTCCTTTGCGATGGTCAAAGCTGTATTCGGGTTAAATATTGCTACGGTTGAACCTTCCACACTCACTACCAATCGAACATCTAACAGCGACCTTCTGTGCATTGCGTGACGGAGAATCTGGAACTCACGAAACAGACAGCTCCACTTCGAGCTTGCCTAGAACAAGAAAAAAACGTGTTATCTTGCTGAGATGGAGCTGGTGTTCCCTATCGCGAACATGATGCGGATGATGACATAGGGCCCAGCCCCGACACCAGTTAAACCCGGTCGTCCGCGTTCATACCCTCGGTGAACGTCCGCGGTACATCTAGACCGGCGGCATGAAATTGAAATGCACCGAGTAAAACGAACAAATTGGTTGCTTTGGAAATCATTTCATTTGTGAGTAGGGGATGATTGACGTTCGATCGTGCAATGAACATGAACGAACCTGCTAAACGTGCCTGAGCGTGGAAATAACATGCGAGGTCCCCGCTGTGAGTGAGGGGCTAAGCAAACAATGAGCTTCATCCAAAAAAGGCAACCGTTGTTGTCGACTTTTGTTCTTGAGCTTATACTTTTGTGGTGCCAGCAGTAAGTTTGGGTGCCAGGACGATATCATACATCTTTTGTCTCCGCGTAACTTTCACAACAATAACAAGCCCATTCTGTGGAAATTATCTGCGGGTGGTAGTATAAAAACCTTACCTTAACCATGCCATGAGTGCCTCGACCCTCGCTGCTTCGACACCTCGCATTTCGCCCCCCCTATCTAGTGTCATCACAATCAGTGCAACAAAACTCTACCTTCCGGCCCGTAAAACATTGTTCTCGACATCCGCCAGGGACGGCTATTCGTGATTTTCATTCCCTTTCTCATTACCTCCTCGAGCCAAACAAACCTGCCATTCACAATTTCACACGTCCCAGTATCCAACATGGCTAGTCTCGCCGTTCCCCAACATGCATACCTCACTTCCGAGCTCTGGATCGTTGAATCTAAACCAATGTGAGGACCGTCTACGCCGCCCAAAAGTTTTTACTGATCTTTTCTTGCCTCGATCGTAATAGGAGAAAGACACGCATCTCATGTGGTAAATATATCGAACGCCAGGTCGTTCGTGCATGGAAGCGCGTTACTGGTGTTACTCGGAAACATCAGCGTGCTTCTTTCCTTCCCAAGGATTTCATCCTTGTCACTTCTCACCGCCGCAGCGTGAGGTTGGCTTGATTAGTTCCGAGAGGAGGCAGCTGTGTTGTCACAACTATTCACAGGCGGCGCACACATGGACAGCAGAGAGATCGGGCTTCTGAATCGCACACATTCATTTTTCTATCTGGGACATTATATCATTATTTGACGTGGAAATATAGTATTCACCGCCCACTCTAGGTCGTATCACTTTTAACAATACTTATGCTACCTTTTTTAAAATAATTAATCCATTATATCCATCGAATAGACAGAGAAGCTACAGTTTAGAACCCAAAGCATGAAACTAGTGTGATTTGGAACTGGCCAGGGTATCAACATGTCCTAGAGCTAGCAGTACATATCATGAGGTCGTTAAATTTACATGTGATTTCTCGTCCGTGTCCTAGACCAAGCAACTGAAAATTAACTTACTACAGCGGCATCAACTAGAATGTGGATGGTAAGCGTGCAAGTAAATGAACATCAATCGAAAACCCTACCCCGCGTGCAATCCGGGTTATTTGTTCCACACCACTCTGCAAACGTGACACCTCATTCTTCAGGTGACCAACTTCTTGCAGCAAGCTGGCCTTTTCAACTGCATCCGTTTCAGCGCGACTTTTTAGTTCGGTAATGGTGTTGTGGGCATTACGGAGATCTTCGAGGATGCCTAAGCATCGCTCTTGTGATGCTTGGGTGTTCCCGTTTGCCGCATCAAGAGCATTTCCTGCAGCAGTCAGGGATCTCTGCAGATCTGCGACTTGTGTTTGTAGCGAAGATATCTGAGCATTTCATCGCTTAAACTTTACTACGAAATCGAACACCGAAACCACCTACCTCCGGGAGGAACATGTGAGATGACGATCTAAACCCTCCAATGAACCCTGAAAAATATCCAATAGCAAGAGAAATGGAGCCGAAGCGCGAGCCAGACGTTTCAAGGTTCTGCCTATCAGAATGGCTATGCGCATCATTACCAGAAGATGTGACCTCGGTGAATGATGCTGTGGGTGTGGGTGTAGGTGTAGGTGGTGACACAACCACTGGTCGCCGAGGCAATGACTCGGGTGTGGGGAGTCCAATATTTCTATCACTGTGGCTATAGCTTAGCGTGCGAGCACTGCAGCCGAATATCAGTACACTGGCAGTGCATGACGCGAAGTCTTTATGAATTGTACTCACGGTGTGAAGGGAACAACCCGAGTGTCATTGAATTCATCGGATTGCCTGTATATAATAAGTTCGATGCACAATAATATATAAAACGCTCACTGACATGAAGTCTATCGAATCATCACCTTCGTCAACTTCGTCGTCCGCGACAGTATTTGCCTGACAATTAGCAGCATCTCTTTCTTGACGCAAAGAGGATACCAAATCCTGATATTTTCTGGAATATTGGAAAGCACACCTAGCTGCCTCTCGTTTATGCGTCAGGACAAAGCACACAGTATGTCCTGCTCGCTTACCTGGAGCAGAGTCGGTGTTCGATCCTTTCCAAACACTTTGGTTGCAAGCGACATATATGCACGGTATTTTTCCCGAGCTGATAATGTTCCATATCCGTCTAGGACTTCTTGAAAGCCGCGATAACTGTGGCAGAGTAGGAGAGGACAACATGAGCGCATATCTTCAATTAACCATATGCTAGCACTTGCATGTCGTAGAAGCTGGACTGAATTTCTATTTGTTGAACCACATCCCGCTGACGGCCATTATGGGCAAAGGTCAAGTTGATGTGCCCGTGCTTCCACTGTGAAAGGATGACATATGAATACAAATCTCACACCATCGTGCGATGTCTTACGAAGAATACGAGCACCCGCCGCAAGTGAGCATGCTGGCAAGAGCCTACTTTCAAGTCAGCAGCGCTTGCCCGACGTTTCACTGGATCACAGTGAGACGGACGAAACGATCAGAAATCAACAGACAAACTCGTAGTCTTGAATTCCTCAAAAGATACACTTAATGTATCTGCGGGACCAAGATTGGGATTTTCATCGCAAATGAATAACAAAGCGGTGCAGACAGCTAGTATATCGCAGACGTTTACAGCATATCAGAGTCGAGGTAAAAACGCCACTTACCGTGATATTGCGCAAGTTTGCGACTAGCGCTGATTTTATCAAGCTTTAGGCGGCCTTCGGGCGTGTGTGCTGTCGTGGAGACGTCAAGGTATGTGCTGCCGCGTCGAATGGCAGGCATATTGGGTAAACGAGATTCCAGGATGATAGTCGACTGAAGGACATTAGGTAGTCGCGTAGATTATAAGCCTTTGTAAAACAAAGACTGAAGAAATCGCACGCAACCGATCTGAAAGCCCTTTCATGATCGATGATCGCTATGCGACGACTCGCTTAAGCTTATTGTTGGTTCGACAGAGAGACACGAGATCACAAAATTAAAAGCTTCCGAATGACAAACATGCTGTGCCCCACCGATCATATGCAAAGCGTCAATCTATTAAGTCGATATGTAATATCGTCTCTGTAAATGCTCTAGTTGTAAGTAAACAATACAACGAAAACACAATAAAAGCTACAGTTTGAAGTGATCCGCCCAGTGTCGTAACACGCCCTCGCCCTCTAAATGGTGCTTAAACATCTTGGGGTCACGACAGACGATCACTGCATGAGAATTGCGTATACCTTCAAAGAAAGCTCGCTCTTTCTTCAACTGTGGTATATTGTTGAGATTCTCTATGCACTGAAGCTGACCAGGTGTCAACAAAGGTTGGTATGGAGGGGGCTTTGATTGCGATTTCTTTTCTTGTCCCTTCGTAGGCTTGGTGGAGCTGGCTTTATTAGCAGGGTCAGTACCAGATGTCCGTGACGGAGCGATGGGAGTGCCAGCAGGGTCATCGTATAAATCAACTGCGGCACTTTCGAGCTCGCTCTCCAGTTTGCCGATAATATGAACAAGTCTTTCTCTGGTTGACTGCGCTTCAAGATGCCTTAGTCGACCACGAGACTGGTGTGATTGAAATGATAGGCGGATGAGAGCAAGGCAGATAAATGTCGGGAAGAGGATTGGTAGGAGGGCATAGACGGCCTATATCGTTGCTGTGAGATGAGGCAGTGAGTTCAGAAGATACTTGCATACCAAGTTCAGAGGAAACTCGGCTTGAAATCGCGGAGGTAATGGCAGGCGCATGTTACGGATACTCTCATACCAACGTTGTGGCTCTTTCGTGGTTGCAGATGATAAGGGAACCGCAGAGTAAGACTTGATGACATGCTTGTACTCCTCGTGGAAATCACTGAAATACAGTTAGAACCAACGCTTGCAACACGAACCAGGCAATTACATTTTGATGCCATTGTTCTCGTAATCGCCAAAAGGGTCTTCTACACTGATGCCAGAAGTGACGTATGGTACAGTCAAGTCATTGATGCTAGGGTCATAGTCAGGGATAGCAGACAAATGCGGCATGTTTGAACTTACGCATTGGCATAAATTCTAATATTAGGGAATAATATCAATGCTTGATAGAAAATGCGATCAGGGTCAGCAAGGACCTCTACCAGTGGCCTTCCTCGTGGCGACCATTTGTCGACACAAAAGAACTGCTCGCCTGAACGGGAAAGAAGCTTCGGTCCCAGAAATGCGGATATCGAGGAGAATGTCGAAGGGAATCTAGGTATGCCAATGTGTGGGGTAGCTAAAGTGTTGAAATTGACGGGTTGCACCGTCTCGAAAAACTTTGACTGGTGAAGGACACTAGGCTTGCTCTTTAGGTCATCCACAAGAGCGGGGACTGTCACACGCACCCAATGACATAACGAGCAACCAGGCCGCCAAGACTGTAACCGGTGACGGAGAAGCGAGTCACCTTTCGACCTTCCTTCTCTAGGTCCGCGGTTTTCTGTCGAATCTGAGTTTATGCGCACTGAGAATCCTCAGGTTTGTTAACGATAATAAATAAAAATACCTCTTCAGCCACTCTTTCACCTCCCCAGTCGATTCCGTCATATGTGGATTCATCCTTATTGGTTTCAGCGACAAGAACTTCAAGCTTAACGTCACCATCCTCGACTTCACCCTTCACCTCGCGAATGATTTTATTCACATGAGCAAGATGAGAAGGATTTCCCCACATTCCGTGGATCAAGACAAGTAGATGGACGTCTGACATGGTGGAATGGCAGGCAATGATGAGACGACGCGGGTTTGGCGGATGATATACAGCAAGAGATTAATACAGTAGGACGGGAAGCACGGGAAGTTATAAATACGTGGAGTCGTGAACCTCATGCCATGCGGTATGTAGCTTCCACGCCGTGGGTGTCAAGACCGCGTTACCGGCCGGCAGCTGGGTACTGCGCTAGCGTCGATGCTGACGCACACATGCCACTTGTTATGTAACACAATGGGTCGGCATCATTATCCTGGCAATTGAACGACACTCAAGTTGGACGAAAGCCTTGCACATTTCCAGACTTGAGAGGGTCAAGCTAAGTTTCAACTGGTCAATCGTGATGAATGTCAGAGTTCTGACCGGTCTGGGTAGGCACAGACTTTAGGTCTAGACTACTACTGGGCACACTTCGGCAGGCTCAGCAAATTCAAGCGGAGTTAGCCACAAGCAGGACTCAATTCGTTGCTGCCTGCCACACCTGCGAGAGTATGTCGGGTGCGATAAGGACCTGACAGAGACAGTTTAACGTTTGCCCTAAGCGGATCTATTGTCAACGCGTGGCAACAGGCAACCTGAGCTCGAGCTCGATTAAATCACGCTGGAGTACTATGTATGGTCATGGTCTCGAGACAAGTTATCAAGGCTGCGGACGACCGATGCTGGCAACTTGTGCGCACCACTGCAAAAGCTGACATGGTTAATCGGCTAAATAGTACATTCGTAGTAACAGCAGCGGCACATGTCTGGTAATTCACGTTGAAATCTAGTAGCAAACGGATTCCCATTTGTATCACTATACCATCACTCACGCGACTGAAAATATGCATGAGAGTGAGTGGTACAAAATAATCCGGGGTATTTATTGTTGTGGTCTTGGTATCTGGTCATTAAATAAAAGGTTTCGCTTGCAGATTCCAAATGCGAGCATACTCTCCCCCTTTCTTCATGAGTTCATCGTGCGTCCCTTCTTCCTGGACAGTTTCATCGATGTATCTGCGGTGACGACATCAGCAAGCATTGGTGTTCGAGCAGACAGAAACTCACAAAATGAGGTCCGCATGTTGGGTGAGATTTCCAAACCGGTGAGTGGAAAATATCATGGTCTTGTTACCCCTCAACTTTCGTAGACGCTCGAAGAGATCTATTTCGATCACTCATGACTACATCCAGATTGGCATCTCGAAGAAGCAGGGAAGCGCACCATGTTCGGCCATAGGATCCAGGGAGGCACTTGGCTCATCAAACAACAGCATACCAGCAGAAGACTCAGTTTCAGAGACCAATGAGCGCATGAATGTACGGGAGCTATTTGAACAATTCACACAAACACCTGAGAAGTCAAGGCATGGTCACGTACATTGCAAGCCGCTGTACTTGCCCGCGGCTGATTTGAATGCCTAGATCTCCGGAAATACGGGCATCATTAATTAAATTCAATGGCGAGAAGTCAACGGGATGTCCAAAAAGCGTCGTGGTACCTTCAGGGAGGTCACCATAGTAATCATACACGGGGCGCGTGAGGTAGGTATCGAATCCCTCAGGGAGCTCGTCGACGAAGTCCTCTGCGCCGCCGAGACGGGCGGCTTCGCGAACCTTGTCGTCGTCATGTGCGAGGGGAGGGTTGCCAAGCCCGATATTCTCGCGCATCTGCATGTACGTTAAATAGGTCGCTTCTGGGTCACACGAGTATGGCTCACGGAGAGGGGGAATTGCGAATAGTCTTGGAAGAGGATGGACATAGCAGCACGGAGGTCAGCAAGTTTCAAGGTTTTGATGTCACGGCCGTCGATAAGAATGGTGCCCACCGTTGGGTCGTAGATGCGGGAGATCAGTTTCAAGATCGTGCTCTTTCCAGAGCCGTTCACACCAACAACGACCTGCTATCGTGATTAGAGAGCACCACAAAAGTGGATGAACTTACACATAACTGACCAGCCTCGATCTTGAACGATACATTCCGTAGAGCACACCTGTCTCGACCAGGGTACTGGAACGAAACATTCCTGAGATATATGCATTAGAAATGATTCCATGAAGTAATGAATACCAATCAACCTGAACTCAACAGAAATACCATTTGCAAGAGATTGTTGGTTCTCGGGGAACGGTTCCGTGCCATCCACAACCTCATTCCGTATGTTCTCTATCTCATACAAATCGCGTGTTCTGGACAATCGGGATGCAAGAGTGGATAACATCTTGGATGTCGAGGAATCTGTGTTACTGGATGGATTGAAGGCTTGCTTGATGAATATGAATGATGCCAAGGAGAGGGGAGTAGTCATTGGATTTTCCACTACGCGTAAGGCGAAGACGATCTAATTGATTTAGTCGGCTTTGTCAACTCTGAGGTCAACTCCGCGTACCTGAGGTAGCACATACATTGTTTCTTGGATGATGAACGTGATGCTGAGACAGTCCTTAAAAGAACGAAATCGTCTCAGCTCTGGGAACTCAACCGCATCGTGACCAATGCGCTGAGATGCTTCGCGAAACCCTGGTCTCGATCAAGTCAGCATAAGATTGTCCGGCAAGGCGCGTCGACATACGTGCACTGATGTGTTCGCTGAGGTTGCCTGCGACAAGCTCCTGGCGGTATAAGGGTCCAGCAATGAGTCCCCTCAGACCTTGCATGCAAATAAAATCCCTGTTCGTCGTCGTTGCAGCCCAAACTACGTATCTGGCTTGAACAAAGGCTCGGAAGCATCAGCTATTGGCATACCTAAGGATCTGACTGCCTCCTTTCCCTTGCTATCCCAGGGAAATAAAGATTGCAGAAAACTGAGAACCACGAGAAGTAGACCATCCTGTTGTTCCCACATGACTGTACTCAGAACCAAAAGCTGAGAAAACAGACGAATAAGCATCATTGCGATGTCCGTTAACGTCTCGATAGTGTCCCAGATTGCCGAAGTATACCAATAAGCTAAGCCAAGGCCGAGCTCGTGCGCTGCGTGCGAGCGATGCAAAGTTTGAAATGCGGGCAGGTCGAGGGGGGCAGCTGAGAGAAGTGTGCGTTCATCGTAGAATTGTTTGATGTACAAGCTCAGAGGAGGCGTTATGCAGTCTCGGGAGTACCTGAGAAAACGCAGAGCGACTGCGCATATAACATGTGCTGCCGCAAAATATACGAGCACCGTTGTGTCCACAGTACGTGCCTCCATTGCGCTCTCTACAAGGCGGAGGAATTGTCCGGAGTACCTGCGCAATGACATTACGAATATACTGGACAGTTGCCTACATCGTTATGACGTACCACAGAGAAACAGCGGGTATGAGGGAGGCTAAAACTTCTACCACAAGGAATGCGGGGAGAAGGATGGAGCATCGTTTGATGCTGAGTACATCCTTGAACATGCGAACCAGGAGTGGAACACTGTAGATTATCGGCGCATATGTCTGCAATATTGATGAGACTCGTTTGCGTGCCAATGATTGGCGTTCCTCGTAGAGATCCCATATACCGATGCGGGTATGCTTGAAACGACGAGTGTCCTTGTGGTCGAATTCTCCTGCATGTGCATTCATCTGTCTCTCTTTCCTGATCGTGAAAGAATACTAAGTGGGCTAAAGTCAAGTGGGCCAAAGTCGGAGAACATCTGTAAGCCAAGAGATAGGCGTCAGGTAAATCCCGAACACCGTCTCGCAAGCAAAATCCAGTTAGAACTTATATCGTACGTCCTCAAAGCTTGGGAAAACCAACAATATTAATATTGTCGAAGGCGCCGAATGTTGGCTGGTCGATCATGCACGCCGCAGCGTGTATGCGTAATGAACCTCGCATAGGTTAGTAGCTTGGAGCAGCCGCCCCATGGGAGATTGGCTAAACCATCACAATAAGAACATAACGAACATGTGATCAAACGTTAACTTGAACGTTTGAACGTATTTCAAATTACTAAGCAGTCTTGGAAGGCTGGACTCCGGACGCACCGTAGCCTATTAATGTCCAGACGGTCTAGATTACAGAACTTTTACGTGGTCACAGAATTTCGGTTCTGGTCGGCCTGAGTATTCTGAAGTCTGCACAGACTTTAGATCTACTGCCAGGGTACACTTCGGCAGGCTCGACAAATTCAAGCGGAGTTAGCTACACGCAGCCTAAGCAAGGATATCCACTATCTTTTGTCTGCCCGCCACACCTGCCTGAGGAAAATGCTACTCAGGGGGGGAGTATGTCGGGTGCGATGAGGACCCTGACAGAGACAGTACTACTTAACTGCCCTGAGTGGATCTATTGTCAACGCGTGGCAACAAGCAACCTGAGCTCGATTGAATCACGCTGGGGTACCAATCCACATTGTATGGTCATGGTCTCAAGACTTATCATGGGTGCGGACAACCGAAGCTGGCAACTTGTGTGCACCACTGCAAAAACTGACATGGTTAATTAGCCAAATAGTACATTCTGAAGTAGTAACAACAACAGCAGATGTCTGGGACCCTGGCAGTTCACACTGAAATCTAGTGGTAAACGGATTGCGCGACTGAAAATATGCATGAGAGTGAGTGGTACAAAGTATTGTTATGGTCTCGGTATCTGGCCATTAAATGGTTTCGCTTGAAGATTCCAAATACGAGCATACTCTCCCCCTTTCTTCATGAGTTCATCGTGCGTCCCTTCTTCCTGGACAGTTTCATCGATGTACCTGCGGTGACCACATCAGCAAGCATTGGTGTTCGAGCAGACAGAAACTCACAGAATGAGGTCCGCATATTGGGTGAGATTTCCAAACCGGTGAGTGGAGAATATCATGGTCTTGTTACCCCTCAACTTTCGTAGACGCTCGAAGAGATCTATCTCTACCAGTTATGACTACATCCGAATTGGCATCTCGAAGAAACAAGGGAGCGCACCGTGTTCGGCCGTAGGATCGAGGGAGGCACTCGGCTCGTCGAATAACAGCATGCCAGCGAAATACTCAGTTTCAGAGATCAATGAGCGCATCATTGTGCGGGAGCTATTCGAATAGTCCAAATCGAGACCTGAGAAGTCAAGGGATGGTCACGTACATTGCAAGCCGCTGCACCTGCCCCCAGCTGATTTGAAGGTCGGGAGATCCGGTGATATGGACACCATCAACGGTATTCCGTGGCGAGGACTCAACGGGATGTCCGAACAGCGTCGTAGTACCTTCAGGAAGGTCTCCGTAGTAATCATCCACGAGGCGGTCCAAGTAGGTATCAAATCCATTAGGGAGCTCATCGATGAAGTCTTCTGCGCCGCCGAGACGGGCGGCTTCGCGAACCTTGTCATCCTCATGTGCAAGAGCGGGGTTGCCAAGCCCAATGTTCTCGCGCACCTGCGTGTGCGTTAAATATGTCGCTTCCGGGTGCACGAGTATGACTTACGGAGAGGGGGAATTGCGAATAGTCTTGGAAGAGGATGGACATAGCAGCACGGAGGTCAGCAAGTTTCAAGGTTTTGATGTCACGGCCGTCGATAAGGATGGTGCCCACCGTTGGGTCGTAGATGCGGGAGATCAGGTTCAAGATCGTACTCTTTCCAGAGCCGTTCACACCAACAACGACCTGCTATTGTGATTAAAGAGCACCACAAAAGTAGATGAACTTACGCATAGCTGACCAGCCTCGATCTTGAACGATACATTCCGTAGAGCACACCTGTCTCGACCAGGGTACTGGAACGAAACATTCCTGAGATATATACATTAGAAATAATTCTATGAAGTAACGAATACCAATCAACTTGAATTCAACAGAAATGCCATTTGCAAGAGATTGTTGGTTCTCGGGGAACGGTTCCGTGCCATTCACAACCTGATTCCGTATGTTCTCTATCTCATATACCTTGCGTGCTCTGGACAAATCGCTCGCAAGAATGGATAACAAGCCGGATATAGAAGAATATAGGTTAATGGATGGATCAGCGACTTCGATCAATGTGAGTGATACCAAGGAGAGAGGAGTGGTCATTGGATTTTTCACCACGCGCCAAGTGAAGATGATCTAATTGATTTAGTCAGCCTCGTCAACTCCGAGATCAAGTTTGCGTACCTGCGGTAGAACATGCATTGTTTCTTGGAGGATGAACGCGATGCTCAGACAGTCCTTGAAAGAACGAAATTGTTTCAGATGTGGGAATTTAACCGCATCGTGACCGACGCGCTGAGATGCTTCGCGAAATCCTATTCTCGATAAAATCAGCATAAGATTGCTGGGCAAGACGGGTCGACATACGTGTGCTGATGTGTTCGCTTAGGTCGCCTGCGACAAGCTCCTTGCGGTGTGAGGAACTAGTAACAAGTTCCTTCAGACCTTGCATGTAAATAAAATCCTCACTGGTCGTTGTCGCAGCCCAAACTACGTATTTGGCTTAGGTAGACGCTTAGAAGTATCAGCTGTTGACATACCCAAGGATCCAACAACTGCTTTTCCCCTGCTATCCCAGGGCAATATACATTGCAAAAAATGAAGAGCCACAAGAAGTAGACCATCTGGTTGATCCCACACGACCGTAATCAGAACAAAAAGCTGAGAGAGCAGACCAATAAGTGCCGTTGCGATATCCGTCGATATTTTGATAGCTCTCCAAATCGACGAATCATCCAAATAACCGAAGCCATAGTTGAACTCCAGCAGTGTGGGCGAACGATTAAGAGTATGAAATTCGGGCAGGTCGAGGCGCGCAGTTGAGTGGAACATGCGCTGATTGTAGAATTGTTTGATGTACAAGTTCAGAGGGAACGTCATGCAGTCTCGGGAGTATGTGAGAAGGCGCATAGCGACTGTGCATATAAGATATGCTACTGCAAAATGTACGAGCGTCGTTGTGTCCACAGCACGTGCCTCCATTATGCTCCCTACCTAGTGCAAAGTAAGTTGGCAGTGCAGATGAAAATAGAAAGGACATTACAAGGCGGAGCACTCGTCCGCCGTACCTACACAACAATGTTATGAATGTACGGGGAAGCCATGTACATCGTCATGACGTACCACAGAGAAACAGCGGGTATGAGGGAAGCTAAAACTTCTACCACAAGGAATGCGGGGAGAAGGATGGAACATTGTCTGATAGTGAGTACGTCCTTGAATATGCGAACTAGAAGTCGAACGTTGTAGATTATCGGCGCATATCTCTGCAATATTAATGAGAATCGTTTGCGTGCCAGTGATTGGCGTTCTTCGTAGAGATCCCATATACCGATGCGGGTATGCTTGAAACGACGAGTGTCTTGGTGGTCGAATTCTCCTGCGTGTGCATTCATCGTTCTCTCTTTCCTGATGGTAGAGGAATACCAGAGTGGGCCAAAGTCGGAAAGTATCTGCAATATAATGGCGGCGCCCGTGGGCTATGAGACAGGCGTCAGGTAAATCCCGAACACTATCCATGCCATGCTTGCAAACGAAATTCAGTTTAGATCTCAATACGTCGTACGGCTTCAAAGTTTGGAAAAAGCCAACAAGATGATCAAGCTCTTCGAAGACCGAATGTTGCCTGGCCGATTATGCATGCATGGTAGTATTGGACGAAACATAGGCTAATATTATCACTGGGCAAGTTTGGAGTGGCAGCGGTCAGAGATTGGTTAAAGTATCACATGAATATGAACCTAGTTGCCTTGCATGCCTCAGCGTGTATGCGTAATGAAGCTCGCATAGGTTAATAGCTTGGAGCCGCCGCCCCAGAGATTGGCTAAACCATCAGAATAAGAACATGTGATCAAACGTTAACTTGAACGTGGACGTATTTCAAATTACTAATTCTTGGAAGGCACAAGATGTTGGACTCCGGACGCACCGTAGCCTATTGTCCAGACGGGCTGATCACCAGTCTAGATTACGCAACTTTTACGTGGTCACGGGTCCCAATATTGTAACCCCTGTGTACATCACATATCTTCATCGGTTTTCTGATTGTCAAATCACGTCAAACTATCACAGTGTGAAAAGAATGCATAGTATTGTCTTATTACAAGAGGGTTTTTGTAGATGAAGCTAAAGATCCGGTCATGACATAATATCACCTCACTTGGCACCATCATAATTCACAATCATAGAAGTCGGCCACGGGCTCTGCAGCATCTTCTCATTCAAATACGCATAATGCAGTACCGGAATGGCCGAATCCGAGAACCGCGTAAGTTTGCCAGACTGCCCAGGCCCTCGCCGCACGTTCTCGAGCGATGCGACCGCACGGAGGACTTCAGCCAGTATCGTGGATGCTAGTTCGTCACCTAAGACTTTGAAGCACCCGTCGTTTTGGAGGTAGCGTTCACGCGGCGTGCGGGCGGCATTTAGGACGTGGGGGCTAGGGAACGCGTCTTCCTGTTGGGTTGGGTTGTGTCAGAGGGGATTTGGCCGTTTTGGATGGTTCACTTACGTTCATGTTTGCACTGGCGATGTGGAGGAAGAGGCGTTCACCTTTCCTGACGTTCAGCGACTCGATAGATTCGTCTTGCTTCGCGACACGGTAGACACCAGCAAATGGTGGGTCGATTCCTAGTCCTCCGTCAGAAGATAAGCCATGAGCCAGAACGAAACACATACTGAGCGCCTCGGTAATGAAGGCAGTCAAACTACCAACGTCCTTGACATCCACTTTCTTGTTCGCCGCGACCGTGACTTCCGAATCATACTCCTTATGAAGGAGCAGATTGACGACATTGGTCAACGCTACAGTCCCATTAGCATCGTTCATGAACACACAAACAACTGAATCACATACCAAGAGACATCTCAACAGTAGCCCCGACCAAAAACGCCAGAATCGAGTTCACGACATGCTCCGTCGAGCACCCAAACTCAAACAAGCGCTTCACGATCTCACTGTGGACCTTCTTCTTCCCAAAAAGACTGGACACCGTACCAATCAACCCAGCAAACGGCAACTTGCTCCCAGCACTCCCAAGAGCAGTCTTGATCAGATGCGTCAGCTCCTGTACGTGCTCCCTCACCCTCTGCCTTGTCGGCATATAGTACGCTAGCTCCACTTCAAGGAAGATGAATCTTAAAGGTACAAATTATCAGTGATCATCAGGGAAGCGAACAAGGCATGCAAGACTAACTGGTAAATCTCTCCAAGCATGTCAAACAACTGAGACTCGGTGTATACACCATGAGGATGCTCTTTCGTCTTGAGCGGGATACCAGCCTGCAATACGATCGCAAATCAAAACAGGTCAACACCCCACATCGTCCTCTAAAATTAATAGACGCACAATTTCCGTAGCAGCCCAATGCAATGGCACATACTTCAACACATCCCTCACAATGTTAACACCACGCGTGTTCGACCCGATCAATGTGAACGAATGCAGCTCGATGAGCTCCTTCGTCTTGTTGTTAAAGTACGTCCCGATCGCGCTGATCGCTTCTGGAGAGGGCGCGAGTGCTCTAATAAACTGCTTCTGCTCTTCAACGCCATCTGCAGATGCCGTAAAGAACCTATTTATGCTATCCCGTTAGCGCTGATCCAAACCCAAGCGGGAATGTGTACTCACCCTTTGCCCTTTAGGACCTCTGCTGCGCGTTCGACGTACTCGGGTACGTATTTATCAGTGCTTCGCAGTACCTGGCCAACCTCCACGTAACCATGAACAGTAGTAGCAGGCTCGCTCGGCTTCGGCCTCGCGACATCATACCCATCAACCTTGCCAAGATTCTTCAAATAACCCTCCATCGCATCGGGGTGAACGAGAGGGAACCAAGTGTAGATACTGTCTTTGCTGTAATGGTTGGGCAGCGTGCGCAGGAAAAGACGGCCGAGAGTGGACCCGAACCCATATGCGTCAGGGTCGCGCTGGCAATCGGCGAAACCCCAGGCAGTCAAGTTGTAAGGCGTGAAGTCCTGCGTGTAGAAGCGGTCACCACGCGTTAGGGCAAATGCATCGGACAGAATGGCACGAGAGATGGTGTACCCTGTGAGACGTAAGTATTCACGAATATAGGTTGATTGAAAGGGTCTTGCCTGGGCAGAGGCCTGCACCCTCAATGAGAGGCTTGGTCTCCTCGGCTTGGAGACCAACGTACAACTCCAAGTTGTCGATGTGACCATAGAGCTTCTCAGCGGCGTCAGCAACCTCGTGGTTGGGGTTCCATTCCCGGAAACTGGTGTACGCTGCAATACACTAAGCACCCTTAAGAGACGTCGGGATAACGCCACTCACTCTTCAAGCCAAGGAACTTCCTAAAGTCATTCAGTGAGCAAACGCCCCATGCCCGATTAGCCTCGATACCCATGATCTCGTGGAGACGCATGACTGCAGGCGTGTTACGAGCACCAAAGCTGGAAGCACGATGGGAGGTCCTGAGATAATACGTCAATACTAGTGCAAGATAAGATAAGATGGTCACTGACGCGCCCTGGAGTAAATTCGCAAGATCAGAATCCTTGAACGCTCCCTTGTTAGGACCTTCTGTCTCTCGCTTAAGGCTGCATGGGAATGTGAGGAGTAGGACCAGCTATAGGTTCCAAGATCACTCACGTGTCGAACGTCCATTCCTGAAGATCTGGCTCGCTCTTGAAGAGGGTAGCTTCTTTGGTATAAAAGTCCCTCAACGTGATATCCTCAACATCCTTGCCAGGGAACAGCGCCCCCAGCTGGCCACTAATCCACTGCTCGTCCTCAACTGAGGTGGTGGCATGCCATCTGTACAAGCAGTTGAATTCGACACTGCACGCATTACCACGGCCACGCTCGAAGACCGAGTGATCTTCATTACGAATTTCATCAAACGGCTCCAAACTCCAGCTAGACCCTTTTCGGAGAAGGCCGAGAATAGCCGAGAAGTAGTCAGAAAAGACGACGGCTGCGAACCATGCACAGTTGCATAGACGGGCGATCTGGAATATCTCTTCGTCTTGCTTGTTGAGCTGTGCGTGACTGAGGTGACGATGGTGAGAAGGGTCTTTCCAGGTACCGCGTTCATTGATTTCGAGTAAACGACGTGCAATGTACTGGATCGAATAGGTTGAGTTAATGATCGTGAGAATGTGGGGAACATACGTTGTGATTTCTGCTGAACAAGACCAAGAGAACACAAACTGCGGGAGGAAGGAAAAGAAGACGATCTTCTGCGAATACATCTGGGTGGAGCAAACCGCGGCCGTCCTTGTTCCTGACCTAAATAGATGATATAAGGTTTGGGTGGATGAGGGTTAAAGTGGAACTAACCTTGTCCTGAGTTTCTTGGTCGTTTCCGTACAAGGGTGCAAGATCAACGTAACCTGACGTCATGTTTATGTGTTGCCTGCCTGGAGTATGGTCTGAGCGGAATACACTATGAATGACAAGTGCTGCAAAGGAGAACATGAGGGCGGATAGACCCTGGGGATGCGGGGTAAACTGGGAAAGAAGGTTTGTGAGGGATTGAGGGAGATATGGTGGGAGATACGTACCTTTTCTCTGCGTAGGAGAGTATCAAAGACGAGACCGGCATCGGGCATTTGGTTACGTGGTAACGGGTTTGCTCCTTGAACAGACCGTGCATAAGGAGTACCAGCTTTTCCAAGGTTTGGAGCATCAGGGTTGTTACTTGAACCATCAGCAGCTCGGAACTGAAACTCGGGCCCAATATAAGTAGCAGGGGGGTGTGCGAGGTCATTGTACACTATGATAGAGTTAGGGTTTACTGGGGAGCGAAGGAATGACTGGATACTTACGGGTCTTGATGGTGAAAGTACGAGCCATACCAGAAATCTTTCCTGAAGGGTGACTCGCCATGAATGACAATAAATGTTCCAACTTGAGAGATGATGAATGAGTAGTTGTGTGCTATCGGTGAGTAGACTCACGAGCATCTTGCGGTCATCAACTGCATCTGCATGAGTGATAGCATCAAGCGCTGCGGACTATGAGGAAATGTTAGATGGCACGGAGGGAAGCCGAGGTGGGCGACTAACGAGGGCGGACTCGTTAATTTCTTCAAGGGGTCGTTTCATCTAAGATAAGTGAGTTGTTGAGTGAATACCTGAAAAGGTTAACATACGAGGTCCTTGATGTGTGCCAATGCCCTGTTTGTGCCGGCGTCACTCGACGAGGGACTGACATCAGCAAGTGTGGTCGGTAATGTTGAACCATTCTGAACCATATGTAAGTGTTACTCTAGATAACAAGGTGGAAAGCTTACTGCCTGGCTCTTGGTAGAGAAGCGGCTAGAGAGAGCTCTGTTAAGGGTCATGGTGAATGAAGAAGGCCTGAATGTTGAGACGAGCGTCTGGCATTTTATAGTCGGAAACTGGTACCGTCCGGATGAGAGTTCGTGTTTGAGCCGAATAGCGTGTGTCCGGAATCAATCATTGAGGCCAAATTTGTATTGCTTCTTTACGGGATTTGATACAAGCGAAGCCGTACCGGCGTTTGAAAGATACTAGTAGGAACTCATTTTAGAGCAAAACGGGCTAGAATCGGTACGCGGAGTCCGTTCAACTGGCGACGGTTTCATTTACCCTGAATAGTATTGGGACCCCGAGTGGGCGACATCCATTCTGAAGCTTAATCAAGCATCTCACATAGAACGTATTTTATTCCATGAGAACAAACCATACTCGTACTCGGGTGCGATGATAATAAAAACTTAAGCGCGTGCATCGACCCCAGTGCAGAGGGAGGTAGTACCTTGCCGAAAAAGGTACTAGGACGCGACTCGTGACGCGTGACCACGTGAGTTAACTTTCACCATGGACGTCGACCTCTACTTCATCAAACAGCAATTCACCCTCGGCGCATACCCCGCCCTCTTATCACTCCAACTCCCCGATCCTTCTTCATCAGACTACATCCCTATTCTCCTCTACAAGGTCCGTGCACACCTGGCCATCGGCGATAATGCATCCGCACTCGCCCTCCTCCCTACCGACACAGAAAATGTAGCACTCAAAGCAGCAGCGGCACTCGCAAAGGGCGAGCAAGGCTTAGAAACACTCCGCGACTTGTGCGTAGAGATAGAAGCAGATCAAGACTCTAGCGATTGGGAGAAACAAACCGTTCAAGTACTAGCTGCGACCGCATTCGTGCGTGCAGGCGAAATAGAAGAAGCACTCGAAACACTCCGTACTGAAGGCATACCTGGTGACGAAGAGTTAGCAACATTTTCCTCTTTATCAAATCATTCGACTCATGATCGATCGATAGAGCTGCGCTGTTAACTCAAGTATACCTCTCACTAGCTCGTCCAGCACTCGCACAAAAGGTACTGGCACCAGCATTGAAAGCAAACCCAGACGCACTCGTCCTCCAACTCGCAGAAGCAGCCATCTCTCTCGTAACAGGCTCACAAGGCACAAGCGGTCCGTCATCCCTCCCATATCCTATCACACAATCACTCACATTCAACAGGCGAACCATACGCACCCGCACTCTCATTCTACAACGAACAAGTAGCAAATCCATCCATATCCTCCCCTGCCCTCCTAGTCGGAAGAGCAGTAGTCCGTATCCTCCGGGGCGAACTCTCTTCTGCCCAGAGCGATTTGGAAGAAGCAGAATCAATCCTCTCCCGCGCTAAATGCGACCAAGCTTCCAGCGATATGCTCGCTGCTATGGTCGTAGCTGCAGGCTTGAGCGACGCCAAAAAGGGCGAGGCTGATCAGCTATGGAGGTAAGTCTTCGTACTCTCCCATCAAGAGCGGTCTTAACTGGGTCCACGTCAGCCGCCTTTTAAAGCAACACCCTTCCCATCCCTTGGTCGCAGATATCGCTGCCAAAGATCTTTTGTTCGATCAATGCGCTTCCAAGATTCAAGTTCCTCTTAGAGCAGTCGCTGTCGCTTAGAATCAATTGGGATTTCACCTTGCCTGTGTAGATCATCGTCACCCGTGTAATGACCATAGGATGGTGCAACGAGACTAATCTCAGATCAATTAGGCGTGACATCGAACTAGAGCCTATCACGGAACTTGCTTAAAAATCTGTCTTGTCATATGTGAAAATGAATCGTAGAAATTTATGTAGTTGATCAAAAACACCATGCGCTTATCGTGAATGATTAAAGTAATGCCTTAGAAAACCGACCAGTTAAAGAACAAGTCCAAGTCCGCACTAGAGATTAGCTTTCTGAATAGGCACTATCTCCTCTTGAGCCAGAATGCCCGAAATCCGCGTAGCAAGGTCTGAATGTTCCGTCTGGAATGCATTCTTCAAAAACCACTCCTTGCTCATGTAATTCCGAATACTGCAATACCAAGTCAGCAGGACACACCAGCAAATCAAATCATAACTCACCCATCCGGAAGGAGCACAACAACATTCAATCCCTCTGTCCCAGCGACTTTCCGCCCTTGTTCCGTCTCGAACCAAGCCAGAGCACCGCTGAGGGCACTTCCGCTGCTCCCACCAACAAGCAAGCCCTCTTTCCTCATAAGAGCCTGCACAGCCTTGAACGCATCCTCATCAGACGTCTTCACCCAATGATTCACATCCGGCACATCCCGAGAAAGAACATCAGGAATAAAATCATAGCCTATGCCTTCCACAACGTATGGTTTTCCTTCCCCATCGATGTTCAGATTGTTCGGCAACGCAAGGATACTACCGATCTGAAAAAGGTGAGCGGCAGCTAAGAGGGACAGTCATGTACTTGGCTCACTGGGTCGATGCCGACTACGATGCAGTCTGCGTTATGCGTCTTCTTGAGTGCGCGTGAGACGCCTGTGACGGTGCCGCCTGTACCAGCACCAGCGACAAATACGTCGACTTTCATCGAGGAGGGCCTTGTACGCGTGGATGGGGTCGAGACAACCGAAGCGATGATCTCTGGTCCGGTAGTATATTCATGAGCAAGTGGGTTGTTTATCTGCGTGCACACCAATCAGCAAGTATTCCAACGCGCTCAGAACAACCTACATTCCGATACTGGTCCAATATGATACCATGTTCAATCTCTCGCTGAAGCTTGCATGCCACACCTACGATCGTTAAGGAATTCAGCCACGAGGGATTTAAACACGCCGGTAGGGTGCTCTACCTATATGGCTCCTGGGTGAATCCCACGGCTCTTCATCAGGCGTGCGGATAACTTGTGCGCCAAGCGCCCGTAGGAGTGCCTCTTTCTCCTAAAAGCCTCTTTGAACATCAACGAACACCATGCGGTCAAACACAATTCTCACAAGCGACATTTTCTTAGGCATGGTAATCACGACCGAGTATCCCTTATCTGTAGTATTCAGCAACCATCCAGGCACCTGAGCATGACGTGTTCACCTTGATCGCGCACGCCATTGCGAGTCCAATTCCTACATACGCCGATCCATCCGAGTTCGTGAGGACTCGGCAAGTGTGAATTATCACTTACCGGTATTCCCAGACGTGGGCTCGATGACAACGCTCTTCCCGGGAATAAGTTTACCCTCCTTTTCTGCGGCCAGCACCATCGCTTTTGCAATTCTGTCCTTGACAGAACCGCCCGCAGAAACAAATTCCAATTTGCCCACTAGTGGAAATGGGCGTCAGCTTAGACATTGATACAGGGCTCCGCGCAAACCGCACGTACGGAGATTACACTTGAGGCCATGTTCTGCAGCAATCTTGTCAAGCCGGATGAGGGGAGTGTTGCCCTACGGCGTCGAGAGCGTTGTCTAGTATACGTCTTGGAGTGAAGTCCATGATAAGTGGTGGGTGGTGGTGGTGGTGGTGAAAAATAAAGATGGGCTCATCAGCCAGACAACGCTCATATCAAGCCATTCCAATTGATCGGACCCGAATCGGCTCGGATCTATTACCAATTTTTGAACGTTCCAGACTCGGAGTAGTAGTACCTTGCGTACCCGACTATACCATACACAGGATGATCCTAACAATTCCGCACTTTGCAATATTGTGTGAACCTAGAATCTTCAACCTGTTCCATCAGACGATCGTCATCCCAAGGCCATCCACCTCCCCATCCACATTGCCAACTCCGTATATGTGCTTTCTGTACGAATCCCCAATATTCGGGTCATCGGACGAGGACGGTTTCAAAAATTGAAACATGTAAGCAACAGTGAGTCGAATAATTTGATCAAAATATATTATATGCTATTATTATATTTGATGGATGTGACACGTACTCTTAAGGCCCCCGATGGAGGACGAGAAGAAGCCAGGAAAAGAATGCTCCGGTCTGGTGCGAGTGACTCGGAGTGAGAGCTGAATATGGATATCTCAAACATAGTGGTAGGGTGAGCACACGTCGGAGGAGGTGGAGTACATCCCATCCTGTGGACGTACAGCGATCTCAGGTGGTCCCACGTAGGAATGAAAGTGTCAAAACCGAATATCGGCTCTGATCGATGATCTTCGACTACGCACGTTGGATGGCAGTCGCGAAACTTGAAAGGGATGGTGCAATGGCTGAAACATCAAGGTAGTCACCAACAACATACAGTGGTGAGCTCCTTAAATACCGCAGGGAAGTCTGCTAGCAAACAACCTGATTCTGGTTTGATGTCGTTCTCGAACATGATATCAAGAGACGAGACTCTGTTCAACAAGGCGTCGTAGTTTGGTCGTTGCACCTTTGGCGTACCCAGGGTGAAATGCGGGCATTCTCGCGATCGCTCAAGCCATGATTTATGGTAGCAAGGTGCTCGCTCCCATTCTCTTTGGTCATCATCAAGAGCCTGCACCACAATCTGGCAATGCCCACAACGACGTCCCACCACTGTCAACATACTCTGGCCAACAGCATGGGATATGGCTCTGATACGCAGCTCAGATAACCGTCTAGGAGATGACAGTCAAATAATTCGGATAAGGTTTCAGCCGGTGCGAGTCCCTTTGGCAGGTTCATCGACTCGTTCCCCTGCTAGCCAAGATGTTCCCTATAACGGTAGTACTCTGGTCTTTGGGTTACATGGCGGAGTGGTCAGGATTTAGCAACCTGTAATACGGGGTGTCGAAGTCTGGAATCTGGTCATGGTATCACTGGCACACCATATATCTGAATCTAGTGAATAGACAAGCTGGTATGTCCACTCGTGAATGCATGAGCTAAAACAAATAACAAGTCACAGTATATGGGAATCTTCGTAAGACTCAGATACTCCGAGTCGGATTCGGAGCATCCTCGGAGGACATTCCGAATCCGAGTAGGGTTGCATGATATATTCCTCGACGGCCACCTCCAAATCACGTCGCTAATTCTGGGTGCACCGGTGAACTTTGAGTGAATCGCCAGTGTTCGGGTGGATGACGACAGTTTGAAACCGACGGATCGGAGCTAACGTGAGACACTATAAATAATACGTACTCACAAGGCCCCCGATGACGACAAGCCAAGAAATCAATGCTTCCGTCTGGTGGGGGATGAATGTATATGGCGGTGGGGGTGGGGGGAGGACCTTCGAGATCAAGAGTGATGCCACGCTGTGCTGCATCTATGGGATAAGTGGATGCGCACCGTATGGTTTATTTATGTACACGCAACTACGTCGCGAGGAATGCATAAACGGCTACTGGACGATGTAAGAGAAAGAACTTAACTCTGGAAACTATTGCACCTGAGCAGCTACGTACAGCGGGCATGCAATAAACTAGTATCCATGGTGAATTCGAAGCACCAATTTTTGATATGTAATATATAAGCTCCACTCACTACGGAAGTCGAATTCGAAACAACTTGGACGGATCAAATTGTTTCGGCAATTCGTCAGAGGCAAGCGGGGACCGGGTAGGTTGTAAAGGAATTTTTCTTCAGGATTGAGGGTGGTTGGAAGAGGTTCTGCACCTTCATACCTGCTAGAAGAAACGGCCACTAACTCATGTTTACTGTAGTATTACGAGGAACGATGATAACGGGAGTAGATTCAACTCGAGGAGACCTTAAAGTTGGAGCAACAATTTACTATGTGTGTGCGATGATTATCAGTTTAGCAAGGCATTTAGAGAATTTATGCATTTACTTTGCCGATTTCAACTCAGCTGCAGCAAGAAGCATATAAATAGGAGATTCCACCAGAAGTACTGCTGCGGCGATTTTTAAATCATAAATTAAAGTTCAAGTGGTACATTAATGTGCATATGGGGCATCTATGAGTGTAGACCTCCTCACATGATCATGATAGGCCTACTTGGTACTTGGTGTCTTGAAATACATGACCCGGGAAAACCAGCACCTTGTAAGAGGTTGTAATAGCTTCGAACTCTGATGTTTATTTCACAGATTTGAAGGCGGATTGAATTTGCAGGCCGCAGAATAGCGAACAACTGCAGACCCGGCCAAGAAACTGAGCTGCAGCGTTACGGATGTATCACCAAATGTCGCAGTAAGCCATGATATATATCTAGTGTACATGAACAAGCAGTGCCTTTCTGCTGGAAGACTGATGATACAGAGGACGGAGGATCTTCATAGAGGATGCTCTGATTTTCTTCAACTTGGACGAGTAGAGAAAAGACCTTCCTCATACAATGGCCATGTCCTTCCAATCCACGTCGCCAGCTCTGTGTGATCTCTGAGTGCATCGCCAGTGTTCGGGTGGACGAGAACGCTTTGAAATGCGTAGCTGGGTTAACGAGCTAACGCGAAGCGTTATGAATGTGACACGCACTCGCAAGGTCCCCGATTAACGACAAGCCACGAAAATAATGCTCCAGTCTGGTGGGGATTGAATGTATTTACCTCGAACATGGCGGTAGGGTGAGGACCTTAAAAGAACAAGGGTGAGTACCTCGCTGTGTAACATCGATGGGATAACCGGATACGCACCGATTGGTTTATCCCAGAGCCTATATATCCGCAACTATAACATGAAGAATGAATAAACAGCTACTGGATGAGCAAGAGAAAGAACTTGTGTACCTCCGGAAACTCCCTCCTTACACGCTCGTGTAGTTCTTTCGCATATTGCGCCTGAGCAGCCACAGCGGCCATGTAATAAACTAGCATCCGTGGTAAAATAAGGACACCATTAACATGTGAGAGGCTCGCTCACTGTGGAAGTCGAAACCATTCTTAGACGGACTAAATTGTTTCGGGAATTCATCATAGGCGGCCGAGCGAGGACCAGGTGGGTTGTACAGGGACTTCCCGTCAGGATTGATCGTGGTTGGAAGGGGTTCTGCACCTTCATACCCTGCTAGAAGAGATGGCCACTGACTCATGCTTACTGTAGTATAGGGGTTATCGATGTTGTTAGGAGGAACGACGATAACAATAAGAGTGGAGTCAACACGGGAGGCCTTATAATATTGGAACAAGCAGGTGGAGTCCGATACAGACGGTGTGCGTGGTGTGCAGAATGAGTAAGCATTTGTCACCAATTGGTATGATCACTCAGCAAAGAAGTGGGGGAAGCAGCTTGAAGCTTGAGGTCTAGGCCTAAGCGCTAAGCTAACAAGCCCGCTACTTCTTCTACCTTGAGCAGCGACTGTCATGTATTGTTGTAATAGCATGCTCCAATTGATCGAGAACGCTGATTGAAGTTCTCCATACGAGTATTGAATATTGATGCATGAAGGAACTTGGTAAAAGAACATCATGATCATATGGCAGAAAAATATGATGCCATTGAAAGAGTTCCATTGCCGTGTATCGGTGAAGAAGCGGCTGAAGTTGACAACATGAGAGAACCCGTTCATAAGACTTCAAACATGTGGCACCTGTATACATTGAAGACGTATTGCAGATAGTCGCCCTGCAGTTTGCTGTATCCCCACTCACATAGTCGGACACATGTGCTGTGCGGCAGATCTGTGGAGACGACTTCGTCGCTGAACAAGCTACCTGCTCAAGCGTCCACAGCGGCGAAAAATATGAAGCAGAGATGAACCATGCGAAAGCTTGAAGGGGCGGAATCAAGGTCGGTACCCGGGAAAAAGTGTGTCGACGTTATCACCCACGACCATGATATATTCAAGTCTGAATTGTACTATCAAATTTCAACCACAGGCTGGCACAGCAGAAACTACCTATTCGCACAGCAGCAAATATTTCAGATCTATGGTATACAACTAGGCATATTAATCTGTCCAGAGGAATGTTCTAAAGGACGAAACCGCAATTCCATATGTTTTCCTGCTGTGGTGCTTGTTGACGATCATCCATCATCCATCATACATATCCACGACACCCTTACTTGGGACCGGGAAGATATTCGACGAAGCTGCACATAGGTCGAGTTGTATTGTAAACTTAGACTGGCATAATACTCTCGACGACAACGCTCATGTTATCACTGACCCACAAAACAGCCGCTGTTAGCATCTTCGACCAAGTATCCAGAAATTTGGCTAGCATAGGTTGCATACCCTTGTCAGAGTACCTATATGGTTCTTCATCCATCCCAGCAGCACCACTACAACAGGAAACCCTATCTACCGTTCCCCAAAATGTTCCCATTCAACACCCACAACCCTCAACACCAGCCATAGCCAAGACGTCAGTTGACACCGTCTCAGCAAACGCTATCAGCCGTTTACATCAAACATCTCAACGCACATTTGGATCCATCGAGCCACTCAAGTTCGAATTCATCGAGGAAGCTGGCCAGCGCAGTGCGTATCCACTCTTACGCCAAATCATCATCCTCATCATAATTCCACAGGTAAGAAATGCATATTGACAATATCTCGTCCAAACGGAAGCACTCGTTCTTATGCAACCGATCCCGTCTATTCTCGCAAATCCGATGCAAAATCTGCTGCGGCCACTCTCGCGATCGAAATGGGTGCACTGGATTTCATCACTCACGGAGATCCTGATGAACTCAAACTTAAACGCGGACTTGTCCTCGCCTCCATCAATAGCTCACAAAACCAGGAGCATACACAGGCAGAATTTGGATCTACTGCTGAGCATCTAGACGGCAATAATGCGATCGAGCAAATCGAGACCTGTTGCGCAGAATGGCGGGGTGGTTCCATTGCACCACATTGGGTGGCATTACTAGAGCCCAAAGCCGGTCACAGTAAGTATCAAAATGTAGGATGCCCGGACCCTGTTGAACTAAGGTCACCGCAGCTCAAGGTTGTGCCCTCAGAATCGAACTTTCACCACACGTAATCAAGGTCTACGCATCCGATACCATCTACAACACGTACAACGAAGCAAAGGGCGCGTGTGCTGAAGCCGCACTTCGCGAAGGCGTTCTCGACTTTATCAAACACGGAAACGGCCAACTACGCCCTGCATCACCCCAACTATACTCAACCCCTAGTTCCTCCGACATCAATGGCGTCTCAGCCAACAAACAACCTCCGTCAACTCTCCAGGCATTCTACGAATCCCTCCCCCGTCCATTTCCTGAATCGTTTGAAAGCAAAGATGTCAACGAGTTCGGTGCACCTGGATATATGAACACCCTCGTACAAAATGCAAGAGGCGGAAAGTTGACCACCACATTCGTTTTCACATCAGACGGAACTCCAGGACGTACGTAGTCTATCATCATAAAACACTCGCGCTCACGATACTGATTTACTCTATCTAGTGCATGGTTGTTTCCTCCGCTTAGACAGGCCCACAGAATATAGAGCATACCTCGTCGATCCCAGGTTCCCAAAACGCGCAGATGCAAAAGCAGCCGTATGCCTCCAGGCGCTGTCTCAGGGCGCTGGAGATTACATGCGCGCGATAGGAAAGGCTGTCGAGGAGAGAGTCACGCCTTTGATGAAAACATGGGTGAACGATCAAGTATACCCTGCCCTCTTATCCGAGTACAATAAACTCAGGGGCCGACATCCTAATTTTACTTATGAGAAGGAGAAAGATGGTCCGTTCTTGTTTTCTCATCATGTCACCTCGCATGCTCATTGCATATTAGCCTTTGGATGCACGATGACGCTCCAGCTCTCTGCCGATCCTACGCCTGACCAAACACGAATCTGGACAGTATCGAATAACTACCGCAACAAGGCAGATGCCAAGGTAGCTGTCGTTTGCATCGCAATCGAACAAGGTGCGATGGAGTTCATCCGCTTTCGAGGCGAGCCTCCTCCTCCTGGCTATACCACCCCATATTCTCTGCAGACCTTCGACCCTGGATCGTCTCAGAAATCTAACGGGAAACGAAAGATGGTCGAGGATGCGCACTCGCCGGGTGAACATGAAAAGCCTACAAAACGACAAAAGAAAGCAAAACTTGAGAGCGCTGCAACCAAACACGGTAACAAGAAAGCGAAAGGCAGCACCCTCATCCATAGCATTCCCGAGTCTGGCACCATCCGTGTAGGACAACCTTCTCGAAAGGGGTACGCTTCAGCACCATATCGGCCAGGACTTGGGGATGAGAGTGGTTCTGGGACTACGTGCCGTCTACCGCAGGTGTCCTTGAATCCTATTCCACCTAATAGGCCTGATCAGCGGTTCATGCCTCCTCGCGCGCATTCTTCTGTGCAAGGTGATTATGGGTATCCGCTTTCGGCACAGTCTTTCGCTGGAGCTTCGGGCACTAGTTCTGGAGGTGGTGCGGGTGCGGAGCGGTTAGGTGATTCATCTGAGCCAGAACCTGGGGAGGTTGTATGATTGTGTTGCATCGAGTACTGTTTGAGCCTGATGGTTCATAGTGCGACGTCACCTAGGTATTCACCTTGTTCTCGAGGGAAACCTCTGTTCTTCTGGAGCTATCCTTGCTCAACGTTGCAACATCAATAGGAGGTGATCCGAGACTGTTGAAAGGGAATTTGGCAGCTGCGCTAGAACAACCTGCTGGTGTATTCACTGGTCGCCGCATCGCACTGTGTAAGAAGGATATTAAGATTTGGCTGCCACTACTGCAGGTCTTAGGCGAGACTACAAGTGTCGATCAGTGTTGAAACGTTGATACTCTATTGCGTAGCGAGGAAATAGAGCTATGTAAGTCTTTGTGCGAACAACAAGTGTGACTCGTTCCCACCTAAGACTTGTTCGACGAACCGTTCACTCCGTGCACTTCGTCGACACAGCTTTTCTTTTTCCCATAGAGCGACCTGGCTACAATTGCAAAGGAATATTATTAGTATTCGCGCCTGTCTGTTTCTTTAGTATCATGGAGACATGTTGTCCAGAACACTCATAACAGCTGCAGCACATGCCTCAACCCCCCACATCCAACTTTCCACGTCCATCATATCCCTAACCTCCCCCTTCACCCGCGGCTCTTTACGCACACTCCAAAACGCCATTATTGCGCATGCAACAACGTCCAAGACTCCAGTGACCCCAGGAGAAGTCAACGCAGCGGTCCTTGTTCCGTTGTGTAACGTCGATGGTGTACCCGGCGTGCTACTCGAACTGCGAGGCGGTAAACTGAGGTCCCATGCTGGCGAAGTCAGGTATATTCAACCCCCAAAATGTCAAATATCTCGGCGCTCATGATCACTAGTTTCCCTGGTGGAAGGGTCGACCCAGTGAGTCTATTCAGAACCTCTGTGTACTTCCTCATCATACCTGTAGGCAGATGCATCGTTTCTTGCTGCTGCGCTCAGAGAAACACAAGAAGAAGTAGGTCTAGATCATCGGCAGATCGACATTCTCGGCCAATTTGGCCCGCCTGAGCGAAGTCTCATGGGTCTCAGAGTATGGCCCTACGTTGTACGTTTATTCTACTCACCAGTTTTGTTTTGACTTGAATTCGGTGTGCAGGGCTTCGTATACCCACGTGGCAGTCATCACACAGATACCGGATCGCTAGATGATCCCTTACCCTCCATCTCGCTTTCCTCACTCACGATATCTCAGGCCGAGGTGGCGACCGTCTTCCATCTTCCCCTTTCCGCATTTACATCCCCTGCGCGTATCAGGCCTGACATGTTCCGCGCTGCCAGCCCATATTGGGCCATTGATGTCTCTGACCTTGTGGAGGGGTTCGAGGGGGTAAATGATCCACCGGGACACTCGGAAGTGAGTGGTGGGAAGGAGGGACGTTTAGAAGTTTGGGGTTTGACAGGTTGGTACATGTCATTGCTCATGCGAATTTTAAAGGTATACACCTAAATAAAAGATTATCATGTGGTGACATATGCTGAGGTCCTTGAGATCATTCTTGGGAAACTAAGCACACATATTTGTCTTACGTTCATTCAGAAGCACCATTCGATGACCAGCCGCAAACTGAAACACAGGCACTTTCGTTTTACCTACGGTAAACTGCAATTGCCTTACTTACATGTGAGCAAAGAGATACCTGTGCCGTCTTGTACATGAAGCACCACCACTACCTTATGTGCCTCCCCATGCCTTGAAAGCTTTCATGTAGTGCATTGGCACGACAGGACATGCAGTAATGTCATTCTTCGTATCAGCGCTGGCAGAACTCCTAATGTTGAGGGACAGGCCACGAGGTAAATGTGTTCACATGGCTTGGAGCTCCACGGTTGAGAGGGGTCACAGCGGTTGAGTCGAGGATAGTTGCCACGCGTAAAGGTGTTGACCATTGACAGGAGATCTTAAGTACGTGCCAGATGTGTGTGGACCAGGTCATCATGAATAGCGTCGATACAATAAGATACAACAAGATATCGGAATACATGACAGATTGAGATAACAAGGATCATCTTCGTGCCCTTAATAGTCAACATCCTGCTGAATGAGCGCAATAGCTTTTGCAGAGCGAGGCTTGATAGAGCACTTGAATGGTTTCGGATGACTGGGAGTACGTGTCGTCTGTTTAAACTGGTACTGCGAATACGATAGGATACACGACATACCTGATCGCGCCTGATGAGGGGTCAACTTCAGGTGTGTGCTCAATACCGTTCTCGACGATCTTGGAAATATCAAACACGGCGAGCGACATCACGGTAGATAGCCAGATGGAAGCATCAGCGAGGTGGAGGCCTGTACATCAAAAGCAAGCAAATATCACAATACTGTTTTATTGAGGGAACTTCTGCATACCGGGACAGATCCTGCGGAGCAGAAAATTAGCATTCCACTCCAGATTGACTCTATGCGTACCGTCTACCAAAGCCGAAGCAGATCGTGCGAGGCTCACGTTCGGGATCCTTTCCGTCATTGTCTAGGAAGCGTTCAGGGTTGAATTGCGAAGGGTTAACATATGTCTGCGGGTCATGGAGCATGAACCTGGCATGCAATTCAATCATGTTGAATCCAGAGAAATGCGAGCACCAACCAGATGTTAGGCATGATCAAGGATCCTTTCGGAATGTAGTACCCGTCATAGATATCGTCCTCAGAGACACAGTGGGGGATCCCTGTCTTTAGGCGATTGATACCGCTCGGCAATGAAAAGAATGCAATAAACACATACCCATAGGGATGACAACATTCCAGCGCAGGGATTCTTTCACAAGGGCCTCGATATAGGGGAGGGAGTCACGGTCTGCCAAAGAGGGGAGACGATCAGTGCCAACAACAGCATCTATTTCAGCCTGAGCCTTCTTCTGCACATCGGGGAACAGTGTCATCGCCAGGAAAATCGAATAGATTGTAGAAACTGTCTGTGGAGACAGATGTTAGTCTCAAAATATGATAATCTATCTGTAATATAAAGGGAAGAGCTAACCGTGTCGGCACCACCGGTGTATAGGGATAGAGCAGACCATTTCACCATGTGATCCTCTTCCGCAGACAATGTTCGGCCTTTCAACAGATTCGAGGTGAAAGACACAGGGGCAACTCCGGCAACCTGTGATGTGTTCAACTCGTGATCGCCGAACTGTAGATGTTGCTTACTATCTGATCCTTGACGAATTTATGTGGTGCAGCAACCAACTCTTCGAGGGTCTGGCTCCATTCACGGGCCAAGCATTTGAATCCAGCACCAGGAAACCACTCGGGAACCTTGGCCACTAGAAATAAGTCAGCTCGTTGTAAATATTAGAATACTGTAGTCTTACACCATGGCATGATGTCAACCATGAAGGCACCAGTATCGGTGGACCGCGATAATTGATTCATAGCGCGGTCTGCAAGGTCGACGAAGGGATCATCATTCTCCTTAACCTCGTATCCATGAGAGATTCGCAGAATGATAGCGCCAGCAGTGCTATAAAAAATCAAGGCTCCATCCATGCAATGATAAACACCACATACTGTCGAATATGTGCTTGCAGTTGCTCAGGTTTTGCAAACACACGCTTCAGGAACCGGCGGGTCTCAATCTCCTCAATCGGTTCGTAGACAGCCATAGCAGCGCGACTGCCAATGATGCGGTGGATGTTCTTGCGGTAATAGCGAAAACGATTACCATAAGAGAGAAAACCCAAAGCGTACTTCCAGCCAACAAGTTTACCACCCATTGTAAGAACCGGACGGTCAGAGTACACAGAACTTTTTTCGTCTAGCAATGCCATCGCTGCCTCGACAGAATTCAGTACAATGATGTGCCGACCCAGAACTTCGACATGCGAGATGTCGCCTGCACGGCATAGAATTGAAATGTATTGTGTTGGGAAACACGAGGCACTCACCATATTTTTTGCGCCACTTGGCAAAGGTGAGCCAGGCCTTGTTGCGGGGCATGTCTGCGACATTCCCAATGAGAGGCCACCCCGGAGGTCCAGGGGGATATGGTGCAAGGTTCTTCTTTCTGAATGCCTGCTTGACCAGATACACTCCGGCACCAGCAAGACATACTAGGTCCAGCCAAGTAACATTGGTGAATATCAGCATGCTAGCTGAGGAAGAGCAGTGAGCGATGAGATGTTAGTAAGAGCAGTCCGAGTCAGATGACGAATACAAGGCACCCTAGAAAATGAGGGGACGATACAAAGTTCAAGAAGGTGGACAAATTTAGTTGTTTGGCAGGGTGATTGATGGCCGGTCAAAGATGTTGTGGCGGCCCTGGAATATTTATGTTATCGCAGACGAAATTTAGTGAGGAAAGATACGATGTAATCGTAGGCTGCGACTAATAGCGTTAATAACAAGACAATAGGCCCACATAAGAAAGGATCCAACCCGATTTGGGAGGATGGAATTATATTATGCTAGTAGAAGTTGAGTGACTGAAAGCTTGTGTTTCAGTATCGCGGACAGCATTTGTGTAGAAAGTTATAGGAACTCCCAGTGTGCTTACAGATGAATAGATGTGGACTTGTATGCCTCACTGCGTGCCTTAGCCTCTCAAATGAGAAACGAAGACCACGTGTGATGGTCGCCGTATTGCACTGTGTAAGAAGACTATCAAAAGTTGGCTGCCACTGGCAGCCTGAGGCAGTGCATAATAATCAAAAAGGAACGACGACTGTAGATCTTCCTTCTATATCAGGCGAGACTACACTTCAATAAAACTGTGACGTGACTGACGCTAGCCATCTACAGTGACGAGGACCTGTATAGTGCAACATCCTAGATATTTCGATGTGTGTATAGGAAAGAGCATCTCAACATACAATATCGGTGGCCTACTACATGTCATATAGCGCACAATCGACATAGTAAAACACCAATACACCAAACAAAGCAATTACGATCAAGGCGCTCAGGACGCATACCATCAATAAATCCCAGGAATCAATTTATATTTCACCTTCTTAGCCCAATTCTCCCAATCCTCTCCCAGAGCACGCTGCAGCATCTTGTCCTCCACTGAAGATCGGTTGATGCCGAATAGAACGCCTGCCGTGAGCAAGAGGAAGATAATCGCTACTGATACTTTCATGTAAGGCAGTTGTAGAATGCCAGACTGCCTCATCCACGACCATTCGCTCCCGTGCGTAATGACAATCCCGACGTATTGTGGAAGGTAGCTAGTGTAGCTTGGGTGGCGGACGATAGAGTAGGGCCCGCTTGTCACGATTCTATGCTCTTTTCTGACGCTAAGCGGGAAGCTCCAGAACTTTCCCAAGGTCAACATACAATAACGCCTGAATATGCCGCCAACCGTGACAGAAAGACTGCCAACAATGAAAGCGGGAGTGATTGGCGTGGTGTGAAGTGCGCGCAAAAACTGCAGAGCGCTAGCGCCATAGACACCATCTGGAATTTGCGAGGGACCCATATGCATGGCCAGTATGTTAGCTACTTCAATAGATGATGCTGCCCATGCAATAATCTGTTATATTGTTCACCGATCTGTACAGACGAAAATTGATACAGGAGAAACACACCTTGAGCAAGTATGGAAGCCAACAATGTAGACCCATGCCTTGAAGGAATAATTCGGACGCCGATGGCACCATCTTCTCTTGAGGTGACGGGGGTAGAGATGGAGAAGTGAACGAGATGTGCACACCAATGGCCGAAGCCACGAGGAAGGGGATCTTCAATAGACTCATGCTGTATCGCTGAACCTGCGATAAGTCACTTTAAATACTTCTTCTCCATTCCTGCGCGATAAAACTCCCACATTCCTGCTACGGCAATGGGGTTTTGTAGTACCATGACTCTGATGCATGTGTTGGAGAGGTGTTGAATTTCGACATCCATAGTGACATTATGCCAGTGCTAGCTCAATTTAGTTAGTTAGAGTTCACTTGGGGCCAAGTAAAGTTTAGACAAGGGTCGGGTCTGCATCCGATTCAGAGTCAGGCAAACATAATTCGCTACAGAGTGTTACAGAGCGCTCTGTAGCATTCTGTAGCACAATCAACCCCGCTGATGCGGCTGCTGAGGGTCAGGAATGATGAGGTTGATGAGTCTTACTGATTTAGGATGTGCTTTAAGACTGCTTGCAGTCGGATAATTTACAGCAATCAGTAGTATTGACCCGTGCGTGCCGTAAGGTTTAAGTACGTCGTTACGAGTCCTGTTTAGAACAACCTAGTTTGGCGACGCTTAGTGGTGTTCGGACTGAATGAATTAAACAGCATGGTCACAATATTTTTAGGACGCTCGCACCTAAAGTTTCCGATTTATGGAAGATGTCGAGCATAGTCTGCCAGGGGTCTTTCCGACTCGCAGTCGTTGATGCCCGAACTTTGTTTACTCAAGGTTTCGAAGGAATCGAGAGAGGTCCGAATGATAACAGGGTACCATGAATCCATGTTGGTTGTGAAGCTGCAACCCAGCTGGGGGCATATCATGCATCACCAAGGAACGTTAGAGACGCAAACGGCCTATATTAAAAACCTCGTCGCTCACGCGCTCACGTTGCATTGATGACAGCATTATTGCATAAACGGGCTCAATTACATAAGCTCAATATTCAATGAGCATTCCTAACGGTTCTCTTACTAGTAACAATTCTAACAGACCTGGAAAACAATACGGTATCCAGCCCCAGTCGCACATGTACAAGAACATCCAATTCGAAATCTCTTGCTACAGTACATTCGACACAGAAACTCGAATCATTTGCACAACACTATCGTAGTGATCCCACAGAAGATATTCGGCTTAGGCAATGTGCGGGATGTCAGGCTGTGCAGTACTGTTCACAATGATGCTGGCGTGATTCCTGGTGATTGGAGTTGTAAATTCTGGAAGGCAACTGTTGGTGACTCTTTTTCGATATTCAGTTGCGTACGGGTTTCATTGAAAATATATCCAGGCACATCGGCACCGCACTATGTGAAACGTAGTCTGCCTAGAAACTCACGAAATATCGCGCCAGTGGGTCCGTTATTCGGGAACAACTCGTATCGAACTTGCTCTAGATAAGAGCGATGTATCAGTTCGACCTCTTCGACACCACCTCTTCCTGTTCAATGGGCTCTCTAAAAATGACGTCGTGGAGACCTTATTGTCCTGGAAATTCCAAGATTTAAGGACCCACGGATTATTCTTGTGTTCGGTTATCACGATCAACGATCGATGTTTGTTAGAGCAGACTTTACCCAGTCCAAGTACATGAAGATGAGGATGTATTATTGTGCGTGAAGTCTTGTCTCCATTCCACACCGCGATGCATCAATCGTTCTTCGTTATTGTGAATTTGCAGTCTTTCATTGTAATGCTAAACATCGCGTGTCAGTACCTATGGTCTGGTGCGTCAATCATGAAACATATGGCTTAAGCATACTGTATCCTTGTCCCTCATAGCAGCAGAAGTACTTAAACGCGTGTCACAGGCGTGACAAAGTCCGTCTCACAAAGACCTTTGGCGGGTCCACTTCAAGTTACCAAGTAACAAAGACTCAAAGACCGCCTTCGGTGTTGATTGGTGCCACTCCGTTCGGCTATAAATCCAGGTTTGATCTTCAAATGTTCTTGACTATCTGCCACGACCACCAAGCTCAGCTGTATTACCATCTCGTGTTCCTTCGCCGCAGAATTTTCTGTCGTTCCCTTGTTTTAATACCTCCCGCTTGTATCTGCACACCCTCGGCATCACGAATCGTTTTCCTCTATTTTCTAACCCTGCGGAAAGCCACAATCAGCTTTCCTTGAATCCACAAGCCACCTAATCGAGCCATATCGCACGTCAACCTTTCACGTGAATAATGAATAGCATCAATTTCTCGTCTGGTTTCTTCCTGAATCTCATTGCCGGTCCGGATCCCTCCTTCGCGCCTTTTGCCCCAGTAAAACCCGTCTCTCGGCCGCGGACACAATGCTGTGACATCTCGATAAACTCGATGCACAAACAGTCTACCCAGTTACGCGAATATCACTTTCATGCATTCTTCAACTGTTCTTGGATGTCTCGCCCTTGCTCTCGTGTTATCAAGTTTAACCCGGACGCACCTATAGAGTGTCAAAAGGCCACGCCACACGCACCCGCGCCTCCTCGTGTTAGCGCCAAAGTGCCCGCCGTGCATGAGATATATGATGCTGCTGCGAAATCAGTACGGTCCCGACACTCACACAAACCTTGGAAAAATATCGCCATAACCGAATACGATGACGCGGAGTTCGAGGAACTGCAAGCACAGTTGGTGTTTACCTGGCCGCCCGACTTGGCAGCCTACCGAAGAGAGGTCGAGGAGAGGGGCTCGCATGAGGCAGCAGAATATGCTGATGAAAATATTGTCCCTGGGGCCGTCTATGACGCTTCGCCGATAGAGTCGGGAAGCACAGATAGTTCCATGACCTTGACGCCGACTCAAGAAGACTATGATACTCAAACAGCCTGCACACCGCCGGCTATTCTGCACGAGGGGCTCACAGAGCCTGAAGTTAAGGCCGGCGTTCTCGAGAAGGCAGTGGGGTTTCAGCGATTGAGACGCAAAGCACCACCTCCACTCAGTTTTGATATCAAGAAAAAACAGCATTTCATCGACGAGATTGGATGCACCCTGCTGATCGGCGATGGTGAGCGTACTGCACGGGAGATACTGGTAAGTTTTTCATACCGTTGTGTCGAGTTTGATTCTAAGGCATGAGTAGATGCTAAGCCCGCTGACGGCAGCGATGAACATCACTAGCAAGTTATCTGCAGGGCTCCTCCTCAATATTCATACCTTTTCCGATGGACTATTACCTAATCTTTGTCTATCACTGTAGCATAAAAGATCGTTTATCGTTTAGCATTACCCAAGTTGTTGGCCGGAGGTTCACTGTATCTGCATCTTCCTTGTCCTGTAGCGCTATTATTGTATTTTTGGTGTTCCTCTTCCGCCATTGTGAGACCATCACATGAATCGCTAATCAAATCGCTCACCAGCAGACCGTGAGATGTAAGTCGTTGTTGAAACCATGACGGACATAATTTACCACTCGAAGCTGGACACCGTGGATGGAATTGCAGCTGAAAATACCTTGACATATTCTTGGACTGATTGCCTGAGGTTATGATGTATATGGTGGGTCTTTAATTAGTGACGGTTCAATTTCTCCTATCGAACAAGCTTGCAGTCCAACATTTATTGTTTTGGTTCGCGGCGCCGGTCTTCTGTGATGTTGAATGGACTATCGATGAGGGTGAAAGCTGGGCTGTAGTAGGGACAGGCTCGAAGCAAAAGACAGCCCTTTTGCAGGTCCGTCATGCTAATATTCCGAAGCGTTTGCATTGACAAATTCACACTGCGCTGTAGATGCTCCTAGGTCACCTACGTATAACTCCTCCTTACCTGGTAGACTGTTTCCTTTCCTCTCAGACTCTCCTTGTGACCCACACCTTGTGGCTCTTGTATCCTTCGCGCATCGGCCCCGCGCAGCAGGTGGTACCTTCTATGACTACACTTCTCGATATCGCGCAGTTAGAGAAGAAGACTGTACCATGGGGAAAGTATGTTCGGAGAATACGACTTTGTGGACATTCAGCCAAAAGGTGGAAAGGTGAGTTGACGAAGTAAAGAAGGGCATCTTTGAGGACCTAACTCTGAGACTAGGCCTTTCCTCTCTGTTGGATTTACCTTTGATTGCTTTATCAAATGGCCAGACGCGTCGAGCACGCATTGTGAAGGTTATTTCGTCGGAACCTTTGAGTGAGTCATTGAACTCAAATTCGACGAGCACAAAGTACAATTGCTGTTTTCTATCCAGCTGGTCTTGACGTCAATATCCACCCAATCTTGTTGAATGTTCTTTGGTCACTGCATGAGTCTCGCAGTCCACGCTTTATCATGGGTCTCATAACAGACTCCAGGAACAACCACATTGACCAAATCAGCAACGAACTACATATTGTGCCATCAGCCACAGCACCAATGTGAAAGTAGAAACACGACTCACTGTCTAGATGTGCTCATGGACAGCCTGCCAGCCCATCGGTAAGCAGTCTTACTGGCAGGTTTTCTGACCGCTGCACTATCGACATTGCAAGGTGCAAGGGGTGAGCAACAGGGTTGAATACTGGATGCAAAGCAAGCTACTCATACTCACGTACAGTAGAGCACAGTGGTGACTGCAGCAATCATCGTTCGTATCGCAGATATCGAAGTAAGACTTGCACTGTGCGGCTGTGACAGACATGCATGCTGCCAAAGTAGTAACGACGACGAGGAATTTGAAGGAGAGATGCATGATATATACGAAGCGATAAAAGCTTCGCAAAGGGGACTCTGAACTACTGAGGTAAACAGAGATTGCTTTTATATCCTGAAAACATTATTGTGCAAAAACTTGAAGCTCTATTGATTTGGCAGATTGGTTGCGCCTGGATGGGAGAACTTCACAACGGACGGTTTGGGATGAATCTATTGGAGATATCTGGAAATGAGTTCCCAATGAACTTAAGAATTCAGCAGATACCATATAGGTGAGTTGTCATGTGGCTGTCTTTGCTAAATGTTAACGACCTGCGATCACCTGCAATTCAGTGAGTGAAATAACTCGGGTTAAAGGAGATATGAGGTGAAGAATCAAATGTTCATCTAGATGGGTTCCCTGTAAGTTCGCACTTCAATGAACTGCACACTCACCTCGGAAGCACCTTCACTTCGAACTTAGCCGGTGACATGGAAAACAGTGAACACGCAGACTTGAGTGCGGAAATTCTGAGGAGGCTAATCTCCTTGAGAAACCTGCCGGGGAACTTCAACAAGAGAAGTGTCAATGTAAAAGTAGAAGTAGAAGCTACCCGGTGCACCCGTCTTGTAGACACCTGCCGAGGATCTCAGGAGCAGGGGATCCTCTTACTTCCTGCTTCCTGAATCCCTGGCCTAAGTCCGACATCCAAACCAAGGTGCTGCATGCAATTGGGCAATCATTGTTTCATTGTGAACAATTTGCTATGCCAGTGAGACTTATCGTTACCGAGTCGCACAAGCAAACCTCTAACTTTAGACTGCTTGGAGAATCTCCTTCAGTCAGCCTGTCCAAGGCCTCCTATGATAAGGTTGTATGAATTAGTACTTGAACAGATGGGCCGTGCGCATAAAAAGCTCAATTAGACAATAGAAATTCGACGACATCTATTGTGATAAACAGTCACGGAAGAAGTCGGGACTCGGAAAAGGCATTGTTTGTTCCCGACAAATACAGCTTTGAGTCGCAAGGTGATTCACTGATTGACAACCACATGCATGCATGAGTACTTACGGTATATAAAGGATGCCGCCGCCGATGCCACACCATGTATCGATATTCCAATCCTATCCCTCTCCCACAATCCATAGCTATCACGTTATCTTGTGCCCCGTCTTTGCATTCCAGAGCAATGCAAAGACCTGCTTCGCAAGGTAAATCGTGATTTCCTGGGGCCTGCTCGATCCCACTGTAGTATATACTGCATACATGCACTGCATTGTATGATAACGGTATACCATACATCCCAAGTCTGTTTAATCTCCCAGGACCCACACAACTCACAGGCATATTACTAGTATCTGGTGGTGACTTCCGGCGGCTTACTAGTCAGTGTCCATGTCTTTCTCATGCGCAAGTTAACCGTTCAACTCTCACCAGCGCTCCCCGGTATCGTACAAACAGATTTTTTGGTGTCACCAATAAAATTGGACGATAGTGTGACAGTCACCATTGACGCTTCAAAGTGCCCCAATGATGCTCTTCACACTAGTGAACTGTAAGTCGCTGGCGTAGCATAGCCACTAGGAGAGTCAGAACATTGATATCATTGATGGTAGTCTCACAAGTGGACTGTGCAATGCATCGCCGAGGCTGGATAAAATCATAAGGCTATGACGAATTCCATAACCCGATACGTCTGGTGGTTCATCTTATGACCCGCCTTAATGTTGATCTATGCGTTTTCAAATATTTGATGAGGTGAGCTGTAGATGCATTCATTCCAAATTTACGTCCTCATGACTACATAGAAATTAGTGAAACCAACTTGATCGCCCATCGCCAAGTCGACGTCTTTTGGAAATTCTGTCTCTTCCTCTTCTCTATGCACGTTGCAAAACAGTCTCGACTCAAGAAAATGGAAGCGATTCGAAGCCCTGAGGTTCTACTGCAGGTTCGTACGTGAACATGGACACACTTCTTTCTTGCCTTGTGATTCTCGGAGCCGCGTGGGTAAATTACAAGATGAGCTGTACTAGTCTCCCTTACCTAGTCTCCCCTGATTCCTTTCTGCACTTATATCCGAGGTCGATATATGTTGCTTCATAATGCTCTGAGCGAATGAAGTTTTCCAGAAATACAAAGATACATTGAGATTCACACGCTGTATCGGATGCGAAGCCTGGTCCAGGGTGAGAAATGAAAAAGTCTCGCGGTTAAGTTATTTAAAATTCAAGGGACCTACATGGACCTATGCCACAGCTTCAAGCATCGCTGGTATCGACGATTGATGAGGAAACTCTTGTAATCACCATCTGGCTTGTATTGTGTAGCAGTTAGTATTATGGACATTGCGCAGCAGCTTGTAGGCCCGAGCACAGTTTGCGCTAAACACAAGGGTCGTTACATGAAATTCGGATAACGTAGACACAAATGCCGAAATAGATTTTTTAATGGGACTCAGAGTAAAAAATTGATTACTAGCCTAGGCTTAACTGTACGTTTAGTCTCGTCAACGAAGGAAACGAGTAAGGCTTCGGCGCCGACGGTTGAGAAAGGGTCTTTGAACGTCAACAGTCACGACATCGAGTCTTGACTCATACCAAACGGCCATACCAAAGTTATACCCTCTCTTTCTCCTTTCAGCGCTACTTTAGCATCACTTGTAGACGACAACGTCGAGCTCGCTGTCTTTGACGACGATACACACACTCTCTAACCGTAATGAAGCAACCACCAGCGTCCCCTTCGTCAGCCCGGTCTCCGCGCAATCAATTAATTGGCCATCCAACTTTGGACCTCCATCACTCACATCATCATCATCATCTCTCTCCTACTTCTGCTTATCCATCACCGACGAATTTGCCAAAACCTACCAAGAGTTCTGCATTTAAAGGTTTACAATCTGTTTTCCAGCGCAAACCACCGGATCGCTCGCTATCCTCGAATTCTCTCCGCTCTTCCTATTCAGCTTCCAACGCATCCGCCACAGATAGTCACAGCCCTCATCCATACGCCGCAATGCCTCCTTTACCTGTTGTATCAAGCAATGAACACGTCGACGACGAACAAGAATGTCCTGTATGCCTTGAACCCTTGAGCTTCAGCTTCAGACTTCCCGGAGAAAAGCCCCATGTAGTACCAGAGTGTGGTCACTCTCTCCATGAGGTCAGTTCCTTTCCTTATCGTAGCATTTCAGTCCATCACACTCCCGTTCGTCTTACCATAGGCATGCTTTACCGCTGTATATGGCCCTCCTCCAGCGCAATCTCGCTCTGCAGTGCCTCGTAAATCAAATCTTGGCGTCTGCGGTGTCTGCAGACGACCCATGAAAATTGGCGACGGAGACAGTAGTAGCAGAAACAATAGTGAGTCACGCTAGACACAAATCATCCATTAATTTCACTATGCTACAGAACTCGCCGCTCTGACTGGCATGGGCAATCCTCATAACCCTGCAGCATATCCTGGGCGGGATCAAGGCTCACGCTCTCGCCACAGCCCAGTACCTCAACAACCCTATGACCCCACAGATGATGATCCAATAGACCACGCCGTCTCAGTCAAATCAACCCCCAGCGAATCACACTACATCGTCGCACCTTCTATCCAAGTCCGCCCCGAATTTTCTTCTATCACTCGGAATGGCGAAACTTGTCAACCTTTGACCTGCATTGTTGTAATCGAGTTACCTGCCAGGCGTGGAACGGCTCATGTTCCGGGTCCTGTCATGGCTGATGCATACGGTTCTCGCAGTGCTCATACGCTCACACGAAATGATACCGTAACAGAGCTGCCTCATCCGTCCCAAAGACAAAATGATACCTTGCGACATCCATCCCAAACTCAGCGTTATGATTCATATACCGAGCCATGGTCATCTACCAATGCCGAGTCTTCTTATTATAGGCCAGGCCCACCAGCGGAGGAAGAGGGTGAAGAATCGTCACCTTTCAATGCTATCGTTGAGGATTTGCGCAACCGAATAATAGATTGGAAGGGCCACGCATTGTCTGGCCTTGGCCCCCTGCAAATGTATGACATGCTGTCCGTCCGCCGAGATGCCCTCGTGCGGGAGTTTTTCGTGTACCTCTTTAAGGAGGCCATCATTTGCGTTGTAGAGGAGAAAAAGCGGTCTCTTGGCCGGTTCCTGTCGTCCCCAGCCTTCAACGATGCCTCGACTTCCGTGTCAGGGTTAAGCAGCAACCAGTCCAACAAGGGTGTCCTGCGCCTCAAGGGTCGCATTTATGTACGACATATCAAGCGTATTACCGCGAGCACAAGCGGGGAAATGAGCATCACCATTGAAATGGAAGATGAGCGACTCGACTCCTTCATCCTTGTTTTCAAAGATCGCTCTTCCATGGATGCGTGGAAGAGTCAGATCCAGGGCCTGGTAAATGCCTTCCAAAATCAAACATCGCCGCCGCAGCCGTCCATCGACCGTGGTCTGGACATGGATGAGTTCGGGGATTCAGGAAAGGCTGCGCGGATGCTTAGCGGGAGCACTGCGTCCACATCACCAAGTACAGTCGATAGTCTACTCCAGGGCTCCTCACGCTCCACCATGTCCTCGTCGACCTCCCATGGTTCCACGCCGCAACCACAATCTAGACAAATGCAAACCAAACTTCAACCTCTCGGTGAGGAGGATGTACTTTCGCACTATGAGACGCATCCTTCAGGCCTGGTCGCACCACATGTATCTACTGGACCCTCCAATTCACTTGCTCCCCTCCCACATACG